CCCTCCGTCCCTCCGTCCCTCCATCCCTCCGTCCCTCCGTCCCTCCATCCCTCCGCCCCCCCGTCCCTCCGCTTCCTCACACCTTCTGTTTTTGGCACGGATGAGTTTGGTGAATCTATAGTGTGTGGCTCCGTCTGTGTGTGTGTGTGTTTCCCACCATGATGTGTAAGTGTGTGTGTGTGTGTGTTTTATTCTTCTGTCTCATTCACACTTAAATCTTTACCCTTTTTCCCTCATATGGGCTAATCTAAAGCAAAAATAATACAGTCTTCATGATGGCGAGGGGGCATCTGGGTGAAATGCAGCTGACCCCTCTCCACGTGCTTCTTTCCTGACATTCCTTCCGCCACGTTCCTCCTCCTCCTCCTCCTCGTCTTCGTCGTTGCTCCTAGCGGATGGCCTTGACGGGGCTCTTGAAGCTGGAGGCAGCTTGCAGCTGCAGCTGGTAGGCCATGGGGTGGATCTTAAAGCCGTACAGACTGCAGGAAACACACGGTGAGAAACAGACGTCAAGCAGAGACTGGCAGTTTCTGGCCCGAAGCTTCAGAGCCACATGAAGGCAGAACAGAATGAAACAGTCGCTCAGGTTTTACTAACCGGGGGACGAACTGGTTGGCGGGCCTTTTGGGTCGGTACTCGGGGTGAACCATGAAGAGCATGTGGGGGAAGCCGGTGCCGAAGTAGGCCCCGTCTGTGTGGTGGTGTCTGGAGGACTTGGGTGTGTAAACGTCCATACATTTAGGGCAGTAGAGCTTCACCATGGCCTCTCCTGGGATGTCCGACAGGCCTGAGGAGGAAGGTCAACAGGAAGCCAATGAAAACATCTTTGTTTCTTCAATTTCTTATGTTTATTCACCAATTAGTGTGTATAGAACAAACATTACGGACAAACAAAACGAGGCTTTGATCTAGAAAAGAAATAACTGGAGGAGAGAATGAATAAGAGCAGCCAAAATAAAATAAAATTAAGAAAACACAAGGAGTTGTACATTAAAATGAAACTTTCAGGACAAAACAGAGAATAACCAGATGGAGTCTAAACAAAAACAATGAAATCGTTTTCTATATTTCGTTGCTCTGTAAGAAAACTAAGACTCCACTGCACTGAACCTGATTAAAACCTCCTGGTTTCCACCAAATATTGATTTCTGAACCATTCCTGAGTTAAAACATTAATATTGTTGTTTCTAATGAATATAAACTTGTTTTCTTTGCTTTATTTGAGGTCTAAAAGCTCTGCATATTGTTTGTTATTTTGACCATTTCTCATTTTCAGAAAATAAAAACTTTTTTACTTGGTATTTCAGAGACATGTTGTCAGAAGTTCATAGAATAAAATAAAAATGTTCATTTCACTCAAACATAAACCTATAAAAAGTAAAATCAGAGAAACTGATCTTTTTAAGTGGTCTCTTAACTGTCTCCAGATGTTCCCCTTATGGCTGTAATTTTCTGATTTGCATTATTATTTCCCTTTTCTCTAATATTCCTAACTTAATCAAGGCATTACTTTTATTTCATGAAAACGTTCGGACTCCAACAACAGAAGCAAATCAGGTTTAATCAAATAAACGTTCAGAAGAGTAAAAAGCAGCCGTCATGAATAACTCCTTCATTTGACTCACCGATGGGCAGCATGGGCTGATTCTCACAATAAACCCGGGGACAATATCCAAAGTCTCCCTGCTGGTACTTTTCCAGCTGATGACAGAAAAAAGCAAAACAGAGTCAAACTGGGAAAATTTAGCTTCCATGTTTTTTAACATGAACCACATTTTAAGGCCTAAACAGAAATAAATGTGTTTTTTTTTTCATACTTTCTAGAGTAAATAAAGACGCCATTTAATAACTGAGATATAAATAGATATATACAGACTTGGTGAGCAGAGAGATGATTATGTGTTTGACTTTGTTTTTATGTGCAAACCGTCAAAAACTTTCAGGTTCTGCTACAAAATAAGCTGTTAATATTTACTGACTACAGTAAATCAAACAAACGTATTCATGTTGATAAAATAGTCATAAAAGTGAAGAAACACATGGAGAACCCTAAACATAATCTTCATGAGAATGCTTTAAAACACCAGAGTGGGTTCAGTCAGAGGTGTTTCTGGTGTTTCACTGACTGCTACAGGAGATGCAGTTACAACAAAACTCCAGCACTAATAAAGTTTCTATGATTTTAATTTTGAAATTCAAGATCATTTGGGATAAAATCTCATTGAGTTTAGAGAAACATTTAATCTGTAACTCCTGAAGGTTTGACATTTTTACTGGTTGCAGAATCTTCCAGGAAAATGTAAGTTTAATTCGACAGGAAGATTTTGTTCCTCTACATCAGGGGTATCAAACTCATTTTTACTTTGTTCCATATCAAAGATCTGAATGTTCTTAAAGGGCCGGTTGTCCCAGAATGTGTTGATAAAGCCCATTAAACTGTTAGAATATCATTAAGTTGCTGTTTCTCCAGGATTTTGTGATGGTTTTTACCTTTTTTAAAATCAAAATTGCATATTTTGTGGAGCCAAATTGGAAATGTCTGTAAGAAATTTTAAGCAATTTACTTTCCGTATCGATTAAGGAGTATAAAACTAAGCAAGGCAGCAGTCAGTTAAACTCAATGCTTTCACCAATTTTGAGAAAATGTTCCAGTAAAATCAGAAAAAAATGTGAAGATTTGTTGATTTTGTATAAATTTAGCAGATTTGTGGAAATCTGGAGGGACTTATTGATGTAATTTGGACCTCATAAAAAGCTGCAGTGGGCCAGATTTGGCCCCCGGGCCTTGAGTTTGACAACGCTGCTCTGCAGGACAAGTTTCAGAAATACCTGATTAAACTCTCTTTTAAATTAAAATAGCACTAAAACCAAACTGAACGTCAAAAACAACTCATTTTTCCCCGGTTCAGATTGTATTTTTATCTGAATTATAAAAGCTGAATTTCTGTTTTATTCATTTAGTCTCATATTCTGACGACATAAGGAGCAACTGAGGCTTCAATTATTATATGGTGTTTCTTTACTAATTTCCAGTCGCATCAGATCTGAAGGGAAAAAAGCATGAAGTTATGATTTCCTGTCTTCAGTCCCAGAGCGTCAGGTCGAGCTGCAGGACAACAGTTTGGGTTTGGCGCCCACCATCTGCGCGATGCCTCGGTTGGTGAGGATGTAGCGAGCGTGGATGAGGCCGTAAAGCATCTCAGCCGCCTGCTCGATCAGGTCGCTCTGGTTGGGATTATCCTCCAGCTCCTCGTCTGAAGACACACAGAAAACATCTTCATCAGCTTAAAACATCGTGAAATACGAGGAGGAAGAGGATAAAAACGCTCTCTGGAGAAAACTGGGGGGAAAATGAAAGGAAAAGGCTTCGTTAAAAGGCTCTGATGAAAGAAAACAGATGAAAGCCAAACAGAACTACTACAGGCAGCAGTACCGACCCGGTTCCAGGTCCAGGATCATGTCCAGGGCCTGGCGGTAGTGAGGAACCTGCTCATTCAGGCCCGTCAGGTTGAACTTGTCCTGGATGTAATCCTCATCCACCTGGAGTTCAGGGAAACACAGAAGACCAAACGTAAACGTCTACTGATACCGGGTCGGGCCGTGAGCTTCGATTTGGATCCGTTTGATTCTTATAAAAGATTCAGTCCAACGTTTTCAGTTTTAGTTTGTTCTGAAGTTTTCTTGCTGTGAGAAAAACCCGGATAAACCGGGTCACACGTTGGGCAAATTATTAATTTAACCATTAAATGATTTTTTATACAATATTAGAAACACATGAACAAAAACTTTTGTTTTTTAAAATATAAAATAAAAATTTCAATACCTAAAATGTGATGGCAACTTTCCTTTAGTGTACGCTTAAAAATTTGTAGCAAAAAAAACAACAACTTTCTGCTCGACTTATCAGTACAATGTAGGGCTGATCGATTATTTATTTTAATTAACCGATTAATAACTGGAGAGCAAAAGACACTTAGTGGGAGATTTTTAAAACATTTTTGTCCCAGATTAACTTTGTTACTTAAAGAGTTCTGGGTCAAACATATTTAAAGACAAAAGGTTTGGCTTTTTATGCATAAAACACAGCAGAGAGTTGAGGAATCAGACAAACAAATGCATAAGAAGATAAACTGATTGATGATAGAGAGATAAATACTTAGAAAGCTAAACAAAGGAGGATTAAAGGATGGATGGAAGGGATAAAAAGATAGGCCATGGACAAAAAGATGAGGTTTAGGAATAAAGTCAGACATAACAGCTTCCCATTTCCTTCTTTTACCATAATAAAGCAAATCTGGACAATACCTTTAATAAATGCTTATAATCTATAGTTAATCCTGCTTGTATGAACAATGAATGTATCAACAAATCTTAAACGTACCTTTGATTCAACATGACTGAATCTAATGGGGGTTTTTTTACCTCCTCATCAATTTAACTCAAACCTGAGATTCATCTAAACGTTGCCAGACGCTGAGAACTGACTGGACTTATATTAGAAGGACTAATTCTGATTTCACAATGTTTACTAAACCGAATCAGGTCAAAACAGGATCAGAATCACAATGGAAGTAGAAGATGACAAACTAAATAAGTAGCATTTTATGGTTTTAATAAGTTATGACAGATCAAATTATTACAAAGAGAAAAGAAGCAAAGCAAAGAAATAATCTGGAACCAAACATGTCTTTTAATTTAGCTTTTACTGTCAACAAGGGATGAGAGTTGGGTCACTTACCTCACAAAAAAACTCATTCCCCCTCAGTCCACAGAACCAGGAAATCCACGACACTTCTTCTGAACTGCTCATCTCTAAAAATCTACAACAGGAAGCGGAGAAAACCATTAAACGTCTTTAGGTCCTTTGGTTTAATCAGAATCAAAAGCAAAAATCAGGCAAACAGTTCAGAAATATTTCTAAATAATGTGTTGATCTAGAAGCCACAAAAACCTTACAGTAACAGTTTTTACTAACACCATTCGGTCAAAAGAAGTGGACATGAAGTTTCCCTTTCCTCGCTGTTGAATGAATAATTAACCAGAGGTTAATCAGTCATTTACTTGAGTAACATTTGGAAAAAATTAACTTTTAGGAGTAATTTTACTGCACCACACATTATATTTTAAATTGAGCAATATTACGATGAAGTATTGCAACATAAAATGCTGTTTATGTTGAAGCGAGACGTCTTATTTCACACAAGTTAGTTGTTTAAAAGTTATTTCTACCTGCTGGGGGCATTTGGAGATCAATACCATAAATACTACCCAGTCAATGAAAGCACTTCACCCTGTTCTAACAAATGTATACAGATTACATACTGTTATCATTGGTTTCACAAATTTATATTGAAGAATTTGAAGAAAAGTGTTTCTTCTGCCTAACTTTGTTTTGTAATCATGTCTGCATTTTTCCATCTTCCTCATTAAAATACCACATAACTTTATATTCAAGTCTGTGACATAATTTTAGAAAATAAAATAAGTTACAGTCAGTTACTCAGAACTCGGGTGACATCTTAATTAAATACCTGTTTACTCTTAACTGAGTTGTTTCTTAGATGACTACATTTCACTTTTGAGTTAAAATATGCTGAAGGAATGCAACTGTTACCCGACTATCTACCTCAGTAATATTGTTTTCCTTTTGCAAGCTCATAAAAATGATTGCCAAAGAGGAAATTAATAGAGTACAGCACTCTTGACCCAAAATACTTTGGCTATATGAGTCAAATACTATCGAAGCTGAAATGGCTAACGCTAAACAACTAAGTCATAACCTTAAGTGAAGGTTTATTTTCAAAAACCAAAACTTTTAACATTTCCTCAAACATTTCGCAATGTGTAAATTAACAGGTGTTCATTCTGATTATAAATGTGTTTTAAACAAATGTGGTGGTTGCTGAAGCCAAAGTTAGCTCGCTAGGCTAAAAACGGCTAATGGCGCAGCGTCAGAAAACAGGCCTCAAGTTAAAGACCGACTTCCGCTCGAACCCCCTTATATTCCGTTTTTTATTAAATATCCCAGTCCAATTAGAATAAATACCTACCTGTTTTTTTAACTTTTAAAGCCAGAGAAAAGCCGACTTTCAGTTACAAAGCTATCTCTCTAGTGTAAATAAAATGGACCCCCTCCCGTTTCACTAAGCAGGATCTTCTTCTCCCTATGGCGGCCGACGGCTCAGTGCTGCCCCCTACTGTTAACTTCCAGTGGTACAACACTAGTGGGGACTAAAAATAATTTCTAAAGTGATTAAAAATTAGATTTTCAGCCCTTTTTCAGTCTAATCTTGAGCAGAAAACATAATGAATTTATGAAAAAATATTCTAATGTAGGCAGATTTAAATTTGGATTGCAAAATTACAAAAATAGGAGTGGAATGAAGAAGACGTATGAATGGTTGGATGTTAGACAAACAATGGATGTTTACAAGTTTTAGAAAATTATATAGGGAATAAAGCCTAAAAATATTATTTTGCATATTTATACAGACCTGAAAAGATGTTACACATTGAGGACTATCCAATCCTGTGAAGGAATCCCTGTGATAATTTTGAAAATAAGTTAAAAATCTTATGTAAACAAATTATTAAAGAAAATTAAAATGGCTGAAGAAAAAGGAGCCAAACCAAAATTGATTAATATAAACACAGAAACATTAATTATATCTTGTCAGAATATGAAGCCAGTTAAGGAGAGAAATGCCAGATGACAAGAATAAAATATTAGATTAACATATTAAAACATTTAAAATATATAAGGACTTTTAATGTCAGACTATTGAAAACTATTGAGTAAACTTTAATTGTACAGCATGGAGACCAGGTATTGCTAAGGTGTTTTCCATCCAGTCAAGAATGTCATGGTAGTGGGTATTGGGTAGTCAAAATCTGACCGGAAAATTAAAAATCTTCACATTTTCACTAGAGAAGAAGCATAAAATGCTCTAGTTTGTTTGCTCAGACAGTTTACTTCCAGGTTGGCCAAGTTCCTCAGGAGTTTTGTCACTCTTGCTTTATTTAGTGAAATTTAATAAACAGATGCAACCAAGTCTGTTTTTCAGTGAGTCACTTAATGTTTGTAGTCCCGTTTACTATGATGTTAAACTGAAAGAACAAAAACATGGCCGACATGGAGACTTTGTGTTTTCAAAGGTGTCTCATCAGTAACATTTGCACCTTGACATCTTTTACACAATATCTGAATCAACCACATATTGAACTGTGCCACACTTAAATAATTAAGAGCCGCTGGACACAAATTTACACCAAAAAAACTATTTTTAAATTGTCTGACTTTATGCTCTTGCTTCAAAAAAACAAAAACAAAAAACACAAAACTGTGTTTTGGTCCATTTTTGTCTAGTGTAAATCTCTTAGTCCACTTGAGACATAATTGACTTAAAAGTAACTTTTCAGCAAGATGGGAGCTTACGTGAATTTTTTAACATTGATGAAAATGTACTGGTAATATGACATTTTCCCCACAGTGAAATAAACTGCCAGTTGAAGCAGCATTTTTTCCATCAGTGTTAAGGAATAATTTACTCAAAATGAGCTCCTATGTTTAGCTGGAAAGTTAGAATTTAAGTTTGGTCTTATTTCACATTTACTTTGACATTTGCACTATAAAACAAACCCTTGGCAAGATTTTGTTTTTGCAGTGTGAGACATCTTATGAAAATCCCTAGGAAGAGGAAATGAGTCACAATTATTTCACCAAATTGAGTTGAGTGATATTTTTAATTTAAACAGATCTACATAGAGATGCTTGTCTGCTGATTTTGTTACCTGAACCCAGACTTCCAGTCTTCATGCGGCGGCAGAGAGAACTTCAATAACGAGACTTGCGATTATTTTCCATTAAATCAAAAGTAGTTTATTTAACTTTTGCCTTCTCTGTATAACTTTATTATAATAAGACACTTCTCTGCTTGTACATTGCTCCCTTGAACTAAAAATTGCAACATTTGTTTGTGGGAATGTAAGTTGGGGTAGACAAAACTTAGATACATACCAATATACATACATGTGTGTATATTACGGCTCCTTTTTTTGTTTTTTTTTACTAAAAACCATAAATGCTAAAAACAGCTTGAACCACCCGGTGTACCTCGGTATTTCTGGAAACATAATACAATCTTTGAGAGATCTTTCGCTGGGACACACGACTGGTGTTCATCTTTTTAACATGGGTACATACATTAATGTGCACGTCAACGTTGAAGGAGGGATGAGAGACTCTTGGAGCCAGTGTTAAGTGTACAGCTATCAATGTATAAACCAGTAACAGGCAATGCAAGCAGCACCCAGCGGTGTTTTCATGCCAAGAAGAATTCAGAGTGAAAAATTAAAACGTCCAACTTCACTCGCCTGCTGGAGAACCGATGCTTTAAATTACAGGAAAGAAAGTGGCAATTCTCCTCCGCAGAGAGTCATTTGGATGCTGAACATATACACACGGCTGAATGTATACATGTGGATGTATTTAAGAAGATTTATAGCTGTTAAATCACATGTGGAGAGGAGAGGGAGGTGGGGGGGGGCAAACGAGGCAGAAAGAGCACTAGCCGTTCGCTTCAACCCCTCCAGTCGCTGCCCCCCCCCCTCCCCGAGTTATTAACACCAGAAAACACACACCGACCCACGCACACGGGCGCGCTCACACACACACACACACACACACACACACACACACACAATTCATCAAATGCCCTACTCACAACATCCCAGAGACAATCTTCAAAATTATTGTCAGTAAACAAACAAGAGCCCCAACTTACAGCAGTGACAGAATGGATGCAAATGAGGAAATCGTTTTAGTTCACTTTGGATGCTGTTATAAGCTGCTTTACGTCTCCTACGGGTGACACTTTTTACGAGTGTAATCCTACATCACTCCAGGTCACCATTTTGTCGTCGTTGTTGCAAGTAAAGATCCCACGGACCGCGTGAACTGCACATGTTCGGCATTGTCCCGGTTAACGGCCCGCCCCGTCTGCATGTGCGCCGGGCGAGAAACCGCTTTCCTCCCTCAGACGTCGAGTCCTTCGAGGAGCGACGGATCTCTGCGCGGCGGCAGTAAGCGGAGAAAAGGGGGGAGGGTTGGTTTAAAACAGTACAACACTGGCTCCGATCTGTGGGCCCGGACAGCAAAACCCGTCCTGTAACATCCCCGAACACGTTACCACGAAACAAAAAAAAAAAAAAAAGAAAAGAAAAGATGAAACAAAAATACTACAAGGAGTGCTTATTCGAACATATACGATTATCTACTGAAGAATAAACATTTGCATTAAACATCTGGATCGGCGTTTAGATGGAGGATTTTTTTCCCTCTCCTGTCAGAATCGATTGGGGAAAGAAAAAAAAAAACCCGCACACAAAAACGCCGGTCGCTGAGGAAATAATGGTTGTTAAAATAAAGCCATCATGCTATCAGTCCTCACAGGGAAAACACATCTGATCAAACTATATTCAGCTGGGGGTTTTGCAGCCTGTGGGATTTGTGCAGGGAAGGATTATGCTACGATGAGGCCAGAAGAAGAGATCCTACAGAGAGAAAAATAAAAATAAAGGAGCAACTAATGACTACTGAAATGTCAGAGCAGGTTAACAATTTAGAGCAAAAATAAAATTCACACCGTCTATCTGAACAAGGAACAAAACCACTTATACCAACGACAAATCAACGCAGGTGGAGGTGAGCACCGAGGAGTGACCAGACAATCTTTTCATGGAGGAACTGGGGAGGAGGAAGTGTGAGCGGGGAAATATTTAATCACCTGCTTTACAGAACTGTGTTCATGTGTGGGGCTGAAATCCAACTAAATATGCAACAAAACCCACCAGAAACCTCAACCTTTCATGGTCTGAAGTGATTAAAAACGAGTTTTCTGCCTCCAGGAGGGAACCAATGCAGACCTGTGCTACCCGAGTCCCACCCAGGTCAGAGTGGTGGAAACTGAACGCATAAATAGAAAAATTAACCCAATCCAAACATGTTCGGGGTTTCTAAGCAAACATTTTAATTCTGCCGTGTTGGTGCTTGTGTAGCTTAGCGATACAGCCACATGCTTCTCAGTGTTTGTTAAAGGGCCGTTAAAAAGAAAACGAAGGGGGTCCATGAACTAAAGGAGAGCAAGACCAAACAAAGAGACAGCGCTACATAAACGGACGGTACGCAGGATGTAAAAGGAAGAGCAGAGGCGAGTATGAATACCATCTCCATAAAACGGCACGATCCACTAATGTGTGAGGGGAGTCAACAGATAAGCCATGAAATAACAATCAGAAGGGGTTAAGATGGAAGGGTGGGTGTGTGGGCTCGTCTAACAAAACTTCTTAATACTCCATCACTTCCTATTTTTGGGCGATGGCCAGTTTCCACGTTTCTCCCCGCGGTTGCCACCTCCGTTGGCGGGAGCACCGGAGCCGCCACCGCCGCCCGGGGGGCCGCGAGGGCCTCTGCCTCCGCCTCCTCCGGTGTTGACCCTCCTGTTCTGTCGCTCCATCCCGGGACGCTGGCTGGAGAAGCTTCGTTTATTCGCAGACGGCTCTTTACCGGCCATGTCTCGATCCACCAGGCCGCCGCCTCTACCCGGGTGGTGGTGATGGTGGGAGACGTAGGACTTCCCCCCTCCGGCGTCCCTGTCTCTGAACTCGGTGAAGTCGCTGCTCTCAGAGGCGGTTTCCCACTCCTCGTTGGCCTGGTCCGAGTTCTGGTTGGTGAAGTCCGGAGACTTGGCTCCGTGGTTGTGGTGGTGCTGGGCGTGGGCTGGGGCAGCGTTGCTCTGGTTGTAGAGGTGATGGTGGTGGCTGTTTGCGTTGTTGGGCTGCTGCCCGCCGCTGTTGTTGTTGTTGTTGGTGCTCAGAGCGGAGCCGTGGTTCGGGGCGTTTCCTGCCACGGGGGCGGCCGCCGGAGCTCCGTTGCTGTCCTGAACCGAATTCAGGGAAGGAGACGAAGGTCTGCCGCCGCCGATGACGCCGACGCCGCCGTTGATGCGCGCGGCGTTCTCTCGCTCCTTCAGTCTGCGGAAGCGGGGAGGCTTGTCCTGCTGGTGTTGAGAGCGGCCGTGACGGCGTCGCCTCGGGGGTCGGTCGAACCCACCCGGAGGGTGGCCCCGGTTGGCAGGATGCGGGGGGGCGTTCGGGCCTCCTGAGTTCGGGGCGGGATTGGTTGCAGCTTGTTGGATGATCACTCCTCCGTTCTCAGCGGACGCCACAGCAGGAGACGCCGTGGCAGGTAAAGATGGCGGAGGCGGGTTGGCCCCCTGACTCTGACCTCCGTCTACCACCTTGTCCTTCTTTTCTCCTGCGCCCCCCCCTCGACCCAGATCTTTGGGTGCAGAGGTCTGAGGTGGACCTTGCGGTTTCCGGCCTGAAGCGGCAGACTTTGATGATCCGGCGTAAGACCCTGAGCCGGGTCCGACCCGATGGCCCCCAGCAGGCCCTCCGACAGTGCCACTGCCCCTGTACATGTTTCCCCCTCCGCCGCCGCCCCCACCCCGGCCCCTCCTGGAGGGAACCCCCCTGGGGGTGAACACGCGAGCCTGAGAAACTCTGGGCGCCACTGAAGAGACGCTCCCCGTGGCTCCGGCGTTCTCCGAACAGTTCTTGGGTTTCTGGTGTTCTTCCTTGTCAGAGTGACCGAGGTCACTGCCCCCACTCTCACTGCCCGTTTCCGAACCTCGCTCCCTCCTCCTCTTGGGGATTTCTTCATACTCTGAGCCCTCGCTGCGGGTCTCGCTGCGGTTCCTCGCTCTCGCCGGGTTATGCTGAGACCGGTCCTGGCCGTGCCGAACACCGGATCCGTCGCCCTTGGCTTCTTGGTGGTGGCCGCCCCCAGCAGAGGAGCGGTAGTCTCTCCCACTCCTCGCTCCCATCCTGCCACGACCGCCACCAGCTGGTCCAGCACTGGCAGTGTACGTACCCCGGTAACCACGGCCACCGCGGTAGAACTCTCCTCCTCGTCCCCGACTGGGTCTGCCCCCTTTGGCAGGCACTCCGCCTCTTTCGAAGGAGCGGTCTCTGTCCCTCCTGGAGGAAAACCCAGAAGACAATGAGTCCACAACCTTGGACCCTCTGCCGGAGCCTCCTCCACCTCCAGAGGACCGTTCTTTCCCTCCACTCCGGGCTTTAGCTGTATGGTTCTGCTCCTCTTTGGTTGCAGGCGAGGCATTCTGGGGCATGGAGGAGGCGTCCTGCTTCAAGGAGGCGGGCTGGCCGCCATCTTGCTCTTTCTCCTTGCCTTGTTTGTCTCCTCCATCAACCTCCACTCCTTCCCTCTTTATTTCCTTCAGCAGAGGCTTCTTGATTGGACCAGCCCTCTTGTTGGGGTTGCTGCCTCCTGTCTGGTTGGAGGGTTTGTGGTCTGATGGAGTACTGGAGGGGTCCTCTCCTCTTCCTCCTCCTGCGTTGTTACCCCTCCTGCCGTGGGACGATCCCCCGCTCATGCTGTTGCTTCCAGGCCGCGGGCCCCACTGCGTCTCCGTTTTATGCTCGCGCCCTCCTCTTTGGTTTGGTTTAGAGTGAGGATGCTGCTGAGACTGATTATGGCCGCCATGCTGAGGAGGGTTTTGGTTGGAATGGGGCAGAAACGTGGGGCCTGGTTTGTCTGGTTTCATGTGGCTGTTGCTGCCTCTCTCCCCTACGCCAGCCTCAGCCTCCCTCAGAGGCGCCGGGTGATGCTGGGCCGCCTTCCCATCCTCCCTGGCCGAGGAGGAGGAGGAAGAGGAGCATGAGGATGACAGGGATGGCTGGTGAAGAGGTGGAGAAGAGTCCGTCTTCTTGGCGGGAGCCTCGCCGCCCCTGTCACGACTGCTTTCTGCTTTGTGAGGGTTCAGCGGGAACTGAGGCTGCTGATGGTGGTGGCTGTGGTGGTGGGGAAGATGAGCGCTGCCCTCCACGGCGGGGAGGTCTGCACGGCCGTTACGGTCGTAATGAGGATGTGGAGCTCCCCAGATCTGCACCTGCTGAGGTCCTCGAGAAGGCCCGTCATCTGGGTGGGTGAAGCCGTGGGGCTGGCTGCCCCTTTCGCCCTGCCTCTGCTGCGGGTGGAGAGGCATCCTTGCACCCTGGTCGGGGAAATTGCTGTAGTTGCCCCGCCCTCCGATGTAGTGATGAGGGTGGTGTGTGCCTCCCTGGCTGCCAACTTGCACAGCAACGGGAGGAGGAGGAGTTTGACTGGAGGTGCCAGATGATGAGCTGGGCTGCTGAACTGGTCCCAGTCCACCATCGCGCAGGCGGTGTGGAGGAGTGTCACTTCTACGGAGAGAAGCACAAGTTAGAACAATACAAGTAACTGATGCCGATAATGTTAAGATGCATTCACACCAGCCATGTTTAATCCGCTTTAATCAAACTCTAGTTCGATTGCCCAGGAAATCCAGTTCGTGTGGGGAGGTGTGAACGCACTCTGATGAGGACCAAAGCAGCAAACTCTAGGTGTCGGTTCGGTGCCATTTGAATGCATAAGGAAGCAGGAAGTAGACGCAGTGCATTCTGGGTAAATACAACTAAAACAAATGCACAAGAGGGGGAAATGGAGCGTGGTCTTTTACCAGATAACTACTAAAATCTGACACTTCTCCAGTTTTGTCCACATTTCATTAAGAAGAATCGGTAGCACTTTATATGAAGGGGTGTGAAAACTGTCATAAACATGACATGACATCTGTTATGAACATGAAGGAGTCTTTATAAATGTTTGTTGTCATGAAGTGTCATTTGGTAAATAATGACACTTTTATTACAAAACTTGCTTTAAAAGTCAATTAAGTGTCAAATGTGCATCTAAAGTGTCATTATTTACTGAATGGCTCTTCATGACAACAATCAAATATTTATAGAGACTCCTTCATGTTTATGACAGCATCACCCCTTCAAATAACGCGTTACCAAAGAATGCCAGCTTCATGTCTTCTTCTCTGTAATTTTCCTTCAGTGGTTTTTGGTACAGCGCCACCACAGGCGAGGGTGTGAACAGGTTTTTCAAAGGTTTTGGTTTGTTTAACACAGTGCAGTGTAAAAGCAAGAAATGTTGCTATTTTGGTCCTCAATCGAACGGCGTCTACTGGACTGCCAGGTGTGAAAACACACCAAATAAATGAAATAATAAATAACTTAAATTAAAACCAAACGTTCAGAAACATCAGACATGGATACCTTGGCCCTTTCCCCACTTCCTCCTCCTCCAGTGCCTGCTTCTGTCTCAACGGAGACGTCAGGCCGCGGCTGTCCGCTCCTCCAGGGAACACCTCGGGCCCCCAGGCCAGCTTTGGGTCCATAGGGGGGGTCCCACGGTGAGGGTGGCCCGGATGCTGCTGCTGCCTGTCGAAAGGCTCAGAACCAGAGCCGCCTGAATCGGATCGTTCACGGCCAATAAGCCCTGCAACAGTGAAATTATGTGTCACTAAAAACGTAGTTTACAATCAGCATGTTAATTTACAAATGTTGCTTTCATTGTAACAATTAACTGTGATTAATGGATTATTTAAATAGTCAACTAATTTGGTAATCAAATAATTGTTAACTGAGAACTGAGGCCATTTTCTGACGACACCCTGAGAGCAGTAAGTAGTGGCGTAGGTTTAGCCTAACCTGGTTCAGATTCTGTAAAAATGCAAAAAAGTTTCCTATTAAGCACCTTTTGCTATGCAGTTATTATACAAATTATTCTTATGCTGTCCTGATGAAGCCAGGCAGAAAGAGCCGAGCTGAGAATTTCACTTGCTGCAGATGCATCTTTTCTCACACATGATGATCAAGCAGACACTGATTTTAGGCAATAAAATGCTTATTTCATTAAAGAAAAGGAATTAAATTGTTTATTTGCATTTTCTTATGCATTTCTAATAGTTCATGAAATAAGCTTAAGCAGTTACATAAATAATCTGCTGAAAGTGCCAGTTTTTTTGCCCGACTACTCGATTAATAATCAGATTAATCGATTACTAATACAGTCACTAGATGCAGCCCTGGTTTCACTGTTGAGTTTTTCTGTGATCTTGCATCGACTCACCAGACGGGTGCATGCCAGCAGCTGAGTAATATTCCATGGGAGGAGGGCGACCTTGCATCACGCGAGGGTCCATGTAGGGCATCATAATCCAGCGAGGATCAAAATTCATGGGCAGAGGTGGAGGTCGCACCATGCTGCCCGGCTGATAGAGGGGTCCGCCCTGCTTTGGGCCAGGGCCCGGCTGGGGGGTGGAGCCTGGGGACGGGCCCTGAGGCGCCTGGGGCTGGGGGGACAGCTGACTCTGGGAGGCCTGGCTGTGCTGCTGCTGCTGGTGCCACTGCTGCTGCTGCTTCAGAAGCTGCTCCTGCACACAGAACAGCAGATGCATTCGACCCTTCTGGACATCCAGTCTGAGCATCAATTTAAAACATGCAGCAAAGGGAAAGCCCTGACCTGCTGCTGCCTCTGGAAGCGAGGCGGTAGAGACTTCTGGTACTTGGAGTAACCCTGGCCTGGAGGACCGCCGGCTTGACGGCCCACTCCTACGCCAGAACTCTCCATCTTCACCGGCTCGACGCCTCTTTCACCGCCACTTCCTGCACGGATGTGAGGACTGCCTGCGGCCTCTTCCTTACTCTCCACTGACGGAGGGACATCCGGAGTGGGCTGCTGTGGCTGGGACACAGCTGGCTGGGGACACTGCTGGACATCTGCACACAGGTGGACAACATAGTTAAAGCTTCCCTGGATGAACCACACAGGACTTTGCTAATTCAGGGAGGTTTCAAGAAGTCAAATCTAAGACTTTTTAAAAACCTTATTAATGCCATCATGAATAACATTTAAGACTGAAACAAACTAGAAATGTAGGGAATGGCTGGGGGAACATGCTGCGTTACAAAAACCGAAACTTCTGATGTCTGTCTGCGGCTCCTAGCATCAGCTCTGCGTTTCTCACACCACATATGGAGCTTCACAGCTTTAACCACACAATGTGAAGCTTTCTGCACAATGGCAAAGACAAATATCGTCTAGGCAATGAGTGATAAATTTACACTTAATTCATGATAAACACAAAAAAGCTAGCAAGGGTTTGTTAGCAGCTAGTTAGCGGCAGCCTCACTGCCTCGAGTCACAAAACGTAATGAAAAAGTTTGTGTGACTCAAACTTTTGCCTGACAGACGCTAGAAAAAAAAGGTACATTAAAACAGTTCTGCCTCAACAAAATTTCAGACGTGTGATTAGTGTATTTATGGTCAACATTCATTTTTAAATTACTTTTAGACATTTTATGGCCTTAAAGCTGTATTATGGAGCTTTACAAGTTTTTTTATAACTGTTAAAATTATCAACCAATCACAGTGAGGAGGATTCTAGCGCTGTAAATCACTCTTGTGAAGGAGACACTCATACTCTCCTCCTTTATCTCTGCTACTGTACAGCTACTTCCTGAAAGCTAAGGCTAGTTATCATGACCACCAATGACGGCAGATAAATGGCTTTCCTGGAACGGTTTCTCCACCATTAGCACATTTAGAAGCACGTACACGAGCATTATTGATCTTCCTCCTGGTTCTTTTTGACCAAGAGTGGTGCGTTTCTTCAGATGGAAACAGCAGCTCAGGGAGGGGATCAATCTTTCCACAGATTCTCCTAACATAATGTCACAACATGGTGACAGTTTTAACTGTATATGTAAGACTCACATATTTTTGGAAGAGTTACGCACCGGCGCTTTAATTTTAGACAAAACTTGTTAACGATGCATGTGGACCCTGCCTGTGAGGCTGACCTGCAGTGGAGTCATAGCTGCTGTTGCTGCTGGCTCGCCGGCGGTCGCTCGCTGCAGAGCCGGACCCGGAAGAGGCTGCCAGCACCGGAGGCTCTTCGGGGTCCACGCAGGGGGAGGCCGGCTGGCTGACATTCGGGGAGGACGCTGAAACCGACGGACTGGGGCTGCCGGCCGTAGCAGCGGTGGAGTTCCCGTCGAGGCTGGGGGTCTTGCTGCCGCCGCCGCCGGCTGCCGGGCCGCTGCCCTGCTGCTGCTGCTGCTTCTCGTCGAGCCTCTTCAGCTTCTCGGCGCAGGCGGCCCGCCGCTCCTCCTCCATTCTGCGTTCCTCCTCCTCGCGCCGGCGACGGGCTCGCTCAACGGCCGCAGAGATCTCAGAGGACGACTGCTGCCGGCGCTGGCGCCAGGTCTCGTCTTCGTCGTCTCCCTGGGAGCCGTGGACCAGCAGGGCGGGCTGAGAGGAAGCGGCCGGACCCGCTGATCCTGGCTGGAGCTGGAGCTGGGCGGCGGCGGCGGGCTTTCCCGGGCCGAGGAGCGAACCCTGGCCGTGCGTCCGGTCCTGCAGTCACAGAAAGGTTTGAATGTGAGACGATGAAGAGTTCAGTCCTGAAGATGACTCAGCTGGAATGTGTCATAAAATGTCCAATGAATGAATCTCAAACAGAGACGAAACTAAAGAGCAAAAGAGCGGATTTAAATCTAAAACAGGTGCATCTCATTAAATTACATCATCAAAGACTTGCTGGAGTGATTTAATTCAAAATTTGAAACTCAAGATTCATCACACACTGATATATTTCAAGCATTTATTTCTGTTAATTTTAATTAAAACCCCAAAGTTCAGTTTCTGTGGTACATAACATGGATAAAAAGGGATTGTTTTGTTACAGGATGCACAGTGTTTTCTGTGTTCCTGCTGCATAAGCTTCAAACGGTCATTGCTAAACAAGCTAGCTTTTCACAGAGCCTTATCCAAAGCATCGTAATGGAAAGTTGAGTGGAAGGAAGAACTCAGATGTCCAAATTACTCTTTTGAGATGAAAGTAAGTTTTGAATTTTGTTTGGAAATCAAGGTCCAAATGAGCAACATTTCTGTGTCAAATATCCATTTTTATTGGCATACATTTAATATTTATTGACATTAACACAAAGACTTGAAATAGATCACTGTGTGTTTTGAATCTCCTTTCTTGGAATTAAATTACTGAACCTGCTGTGATCTTCTAATTTACTGAGATACATCTGCAAAGATGGCTGAACCATACACTCTGCAGGCGGAGGATGAGGTCATGGCAGGAATGGCTGAACTATGAGGCCCCGTTCAAACGGCTACCTGTCGATAAAAGGAGTAGGGCCCTGGTCCGAGGAGCGGCCCAGGTGGGGGGGAGGGCTGCTCCCGGGGGCCACCCAATCCAGGCCTGCGCCCCTGTATACAGGCAGACACGGTTAGCCATAATCTGCACTGACAGCAGCATGCAAACAGCAGGGAGGTCCAGGTCCAATCACAGGCATCGGACTGGGCTCTGATCGCTTCTCATCGATACGGATCAATAACCAGGGTGGTCGGTCGCGATGTTAAAATTTCAAACTTCACGCCGATACTATGGAAAATACCCAAAGCTAGTTTTGATGCCGCTGCAACATTTATCTGGAGGAGGCGGTTTCTTTCCAAGAGCAAAAATATGATGAAAATGCAACAAAACTATAATGAGATATTTTTTCATGTTAAAGGTGAAATAATCAGCCAGAGGAACTGGAACTGTTTCATCAATATCAAGGGATTATTCACTTAAAACATGCTCCTGTTTCTTGCTGAAAGGCTAATTATATAATAGTTTTGTCTCATTTCAAATGTACTGGAAACTAAACCAAAAACACCTGGAAAGACTGTGTGTTTTTTTTTGTTGTCGTTTTGTTTTTCCAGTGTTGTACATTTACAGATTTAGCAGTGCCTTGCAGAGTAACCAGTTGCTGCGGTCCGACTTCCCACCTGGTAGCTGGATGGCGCCCCCTGAGTTCCCCAGCCGCTGCTTCCCTCCTCGGCCCATCCTGGCTTGCTGGAGGGGGGCTGTGGGGCGCCGTCAGCGTTCGAGGGGGGCGTGTGGCGACTTTCGCCGCCGCTGTCCGAGGCTCGGGAGTGAGAGTTTGCAGCGGGAGCGTCCTGGGACCGTTGCTGCTCACTGAGGAGGAAAGCCAAGCATACAAACTAAACCGCAGCAAAACCCCGTATGCATCAAACCTCAGGAGCAAATAGACCTACTTGTTCACGTACCGCGAGTCATTCTTGCTCTCCTTTTTGTCTTCGTCTCCCTCTTCATCGGCTTCGTCGTCACTGAACTTCAGCTTGGCGGAGTAATCGATCTCCTCATTCGCCCCTGTTCGGACAGGAAGCAGCTTCAGCGTCGTTTCTGTTCGCAGCGTCCATCGCTCAGACCAATTTGATTCCCGGCCTCTCTTTTTACCCCGAGTGTTTCTAGCCACATGAACCACTCTGCTTCGATAAGCAAGAAATGTGATATTCACAAAAGCATCAAACTCTTTCACTATCGCTATCCCGTCGGCTCCTTAATTATTTACTGGCATAAATAAAGATGTTTTCCACTGCGATGCTTTAGAAGGGAATTTAATGGGACTGGAGACTAAAACGAAACAGAGCTGCTCCACGTCGTCATGGAGAAATATTCACACTCCTTCAAACTTTTCCACATTTTAACTCAAAACTTCTCTAGGTTCTGTATATACATGCAAAGAGGAAGGAAAGTTATGGATTTTTTACTAAATGTTTTACAACTAAAAATCTGAGAAGTGTGGCATGCATTTCGCTGCAACTTTTCCAGTAAGTCTCTACTAGCCTTCAAATCTAGAGACTGAAAATTGTACATATCCATTTTTTTAAAACATCTCAATCAGAGTTCCTTGGTCTTGACGAAGCCATTTATTCACTCGTGTTCTTTAACAAACCTCTGAAGCCTCCACTGAACAGCTGGATTTATACCGAGAGTAAATTACACACAGGTGGGCTCGATTTGCAAATTAGTTGCTGCGGAAAGCAACTGGTAGGTTTCAGAGTAAATAGTAAACAATCTATCCAGCTGTTAGTGAGGCTCTGTCATATAAAGTCCCAGTAAAAACACTGAAATTTGTGGATTTATCTCCACAAAATGTAGAGAAGCTCCAACGGTAAAACACTTTTGCGAGGCAGAAAGAACAGATCTTTCATGTTGAACACGTTTCTACAACCCATAATATAATAAAACAGGTCAAATACAGCCATGATGCATTTCAGTTAATCAAATTTCACCGACTCTTGTTTGTTAAACATTTATAAGACAGAAGCACCAATTCTGGAGAAAACATAAAAACCTTGGCACCATTTTATCCCGACATTTACTTGATTTGTATCAGAGCTGCAACAGAACCTGTTTCTTTCCGTACCTGCCCAGCCGTCGTCTCCGTCGTGATCCAGCTCATCCAGCTCCTTCAGGTCGTCCTGCTTCAAGATGGAGGGGCGTTTCACCACTTCCCCTGAATCCCGAGGGCCGCCCTGGGCCCTGCCGTCAGGCCCCTGTCCACGAGAGAACCTGGAAGAAGAGATACAGAAAAAAAAACACTATCAAAACACCGGAATAGCTGGTTCCAACAGGTTAAACAGAAAGTATGTGGATACACACCTTGGAGGTGGCCCCTCCCCAGGTGGCGGGTACCTGTAGGGCCCCTGAGGCCCATAGGGGCCCGGGAACGGGAGATAGGGGGGATACATCTACAAAACAAACAAACATTAAAAACCCTTGTTAAACTCTTTTTGTTTTTTGATAAGATGGCGGTAGTAGAAGAGAAAACGTACGAAGGGTGGCATGATCCCTCGATATGGAGGAAACCCGGGCCCCACGGGGGGCTGGGGCAGGGGCAAGGCGGGGCTGCCTGCAGGGGGATTCCTAGGTGGCCCTTGGATCTGGGGGTTTGGATGGGGGACCCCAGCTGCCCCATCCATCACCAGCGCTCCACCTGTGCCCCCCTCCGCTGCCCCCTCCCCAGGCAGGGTGGGCGCCAAGGCTCGGCCCCCACCGTCCCGCCAACTTGTAACGTCTGACAACAACGACAAAAGCAGAAGCACAAAGCGTGGGTTAGGCGCGGGAGAACCCCGGCACGGCGGCAGGACTGAGGCGGGCTGGGCGGTGCGGTGAGCGCTCACTCTGGGGGCGGAGGCTTGGTCCGGGCCCATACCACTGATCTGCAGTGGCCGGTTCTCTGCCAGCTTTGTCCTGGTCGCCAGCCGACTGCAGGGTGGGAAATTCCTCGCGAGAGAACGGCGACGGTAGGTTTGATCCCTTTCCACCTGCAAACCGGGCGAGGAAGGACACTTAGGCCTGTCGCCGCTGGACCACATGTTGCTCCAGAAGTTATTGTGATAATCGATAATATGGTTTTGAGACCATTTTCATAACGGTAACGTAACAGTAACGGCATAAAAATACGACGACATATTGTGAAAGATCAATAAACTTTAAATTCTAACTAACATTTAACACAGAAACTGGAAGACATTTTAAATATCCAAAATAAATAAAACAGAAACACATAAAGTGAATTATGAAGTCTCTGTAAACAAAACGGCTAGTTGAGCCCAAAGCACCAAACTTGAGGCTTTTATCATCCAGGTTTTGGTAAAGAGAACGAAAAGAGAAAAATGATAAATCATACAAATGGAAATCATTGAGTTTGTTTTCATCAGTCATGTGATTAATTGATTTATTGCTTATTGTGACAGAGCTAAGGACACTTGGTGGCAACAAAGAGATGGTGGGGGAAACAGGAAACGGTGAAATCTGGACTCACCATCCCCTTGTGTTCCATGTGTAACGCTGGCCTGTGCCCACGACCTTGCCCCTACGGCCTGTGTTGAAGGTGGGGCCAGAGCCTGAGGAGAGCACAAACACACAAACATCAGACTCGTGTGTTTGTGTTTTGTATTTGCAGCAGGATGTGCGTCTTACCTCTGAAACTGGTGGGGTTCTCGGGCGGGTCGGTGCAGCTATCTGTGAAGCCACAGGCTGCTGCGATTCCGGCTGCGGTGCTGACAATGCATCGGTACTGTCGACAGAAAAAACGAGTCACGTGTGGGCCTAACGAGTCCCAGACAACCAACACGTTTTTTTTAGAGAAAACATGGAAAAGTAGAAGATCTTACACACATTGTCCTGATATCCAAACTCACTGAAGGGACATTAAGCGGAGGTGGAGAACATTTTGGAGATTGAGGAACAAATTCTCCGTTTTACTTATTGGAGACTGTGTTAAATCATATAATTAAGATGAATTCCACATATTTTACTGAAAAAAACCTGGTCTTAGTGAAGTGGAAAGATCTGAAACCCCCAATAACAACTGAATGGAAACAGAGAATCCGTTCTGTGTTTCCATTATGCAGATCTGTAAAAAACTAAGAGCCCACTGCACTGAATCCCATTAAAACCTCCTGGTTCCTCCACCAAATGTTGATTTCTGAGTTAAAGCATTAGTTTTGTTGTTTCTATACGAATATGAACTTGTTTTCTTTGCATTATTTGACTTAGAAAATTATGTCCTGAAAATTTATTAAGAATCTTATTGCTTCAAAGTTGTGTTGTGCTTTTTTTTTTCTTATTTATCTCAATTTATTTTTCTCTTGATGCATTTTCTTGTTTTCACAATTCCAAGTTGTGTATTCCGTGAACATGGGGAATTGTCAATGTTCAATTATATACAAACTTGAAATAAAAAGTAAAAAAATAAACCACGGACAAACATTCCCGCTTTACCTCTTTGGGTCTGCTGGTTCCTGTTTGCTTGCCCATCCTGTGCCGTCTTTGGGAACGAGCGAGACGTTGGGGTCGTTGCCTTTGTTCTCCGCCTTCAGACTGGGCAGGTTGGCAGGTGGTGGCATGCGCCGCGCGGAGGCAACTTTACCAAGAGACTGCAGGCCATGGCGGGGGGGAACTGGCGGGGGGACAGAGGGCCGTGAGCACAGACGGACCACTGAAACGTGACGCCGGCCGTACGGACTGGGCGAATGACAGGGATCGAGTTTGCTGCCAGCTCTGTTGAATATGCAACTCAGGCGAGGAAGAACTAAGGTTACAGGCTGGGCGGCATGTAGAGTAACAATTCTTAGACATGAGTTTCTAAATTCAGACACAACAACGACGCACGAGCGATGTGCGTCCCTGGAAGTCTAATGGGGAACCCCTGAATAAAATATAACCTGGGAGATGAGAACATTTCTATCAGTCTAGGCTTGTTATAATTTACAACACAACCTTCTCGTATTTTGTAAGGCTGCACCGATTGCAGTTTTCTGGCAGATTACCAAGCTGCAAAAAGCCTGACCTGCCGATTCCGACTTTGGCCGATAATTTTTTTTTTTTTGTCTGAAATGTTGCAAAACAGAGCAACAGTGGGGTGAATATTGCTAACTGCAAACATTCAGACCTGACCTGTCAGTCAAACCTCTCTCACTGTACAGCAGAAGAGGACAGTGGTCGATTTTTAAACCTCTGCTGAAGTGGATAAGATCGGTTTCACATCCAACTATCGGCCAATCATCAATCTCCCAAAATTAAGGAAATCATTAAGTCGGTGCACCCCTAGTATTTTGAGGTGCAACTATTGCTGCAAAACAAAGACAGTAAGTTCAAAGACGGGTAAAAGATCAATGAGAGACTGAACAAAGCTGTGCGTCAAGGTTGCAGCAGAAACCAAGACAGACCTGGAGCATGAATGAGCAGGTCTGTCTGTGGAGAACTAAAAATAGATCCTTCCAAAAAGATTTCTCTTTGATGTGTAAGCAACGCGACACGGAGCAAATACTCACCAACAGGCTTTTGTGTTTCAAGGCTCTTTCCTTTGTATGTATCAAACAAGTTGAGAGACGCATACTTGGTTTTGCCTTCCTTCCCCTTTGCAGTTTGCCCAGAGCGCTCTGACATTGCGCTGTCCGCTCATTGAGTATGGTGAGCCCTGAGACTGGGGGACAAGAAGGGAGAGACGGTGAGCGACCCGACACCAGGGATGCTCAGGAAACACAGAGAGAGAAAGTCTGAAAACGACAGGAAACGTCTGAGAAGTCAGAGCATAAAATGTGATGGTCTGTTTGAGGTTTGCTGGCTTTATAAGTGCATCACACTAAAGAAAGATTCATCTATTCATCCAGTGGAATAAATCCAGTTTTATCTCTGTGGGGGTTTTTTCCTCACTTGCACATGTAAAAATACCAGATTCTAACATTTTTCAATGTAATTTAGTTTTTGCATAACAACAACAGCCTAACTGGTGAAATGGAAGAATGTGCTTTACAGTCTAAACCAGGTGATCATTTTGGCAAAATAGCAGAGGACTAACTTTTCTGCCACATTTTTTATTTTACTGTTTTTAAATAATACTTAACAGTAAATCACACTTCATCTTTACAAATGAAAATATTTAGATTATCTTAACAACACAATAAATAACCGTGTTCAATAACGATGCACAGGTATTTTTAGTAAAAAACCAGAAACTATGAAGACTAATAAATTAAAATATATAAAGGTACACCTATTTAACCATAATCTAAGGTGAAAAATATAATTTTTGTACAAATAAAATTATTTATTTACAGTTGTATTCTATAGATTTGCTCCACCGATTTTTGTTTTTTTGAAAATTAAAACCCTTTAAGGAGGTATTTAACAGGGAAGGGCGATATGCACCTAGCATTTTAATCACAATATTTTCGGTTATTTATTGTGATAATGATAAAAGTAATGATAAAAAAAATACACATTTAAGTGTTATCTGCAGTGTTTTTAGGTAACTGTGTGATTGTGACTGTTTTACAATAAAAACGTTTTAAACATAAAGTGTGATTTTTAATCACACAATAACTGCATTTAATCCTATTTTCATTTTTTATACATTTAATAATGCTCTCATGAAAACAACAAAGGAGAAAACAGCAAAAAAAATAATAATAATCTGAATTTATTTAAGGATAAACAATACAATAATTGCCCATCACCAATATTAAACATATTTTCATTAAGGCAATTTTCTACATCTAATTTTTTGTTTTATAAATTACGTAATACAGTGATGTAAGAAATGAATGTTGCAAATTTGAAACTGAACCCATCTCCAGTGTTTTTCCTGCTGTATGATTCCTGAGCATCAGTCCTAATTACCAACATTTAAGTGGATTTCACTCACAACATTAATATTTTAAAACAACATGTTAAAAAGGCAGACATTACTGCATCACTGGGAACATATTTTCATTTTAAGCCTGAAAAAAAGGGAGCGTTCATCAAATCTGCAGCAAATCGTGCTGGTCAAGTTGGTGAAGCCGTTAGCAATGGCTTTTAAAAAAAAAAAAAAATAAAATAAAATATATATATATATATATATATATATATATATATCTGCAGTCAATTAAACTAAACAGCATGACCCTTTGATCACAGCACAAATATTTCACATCATCATCATAACGGCACTAAATGCCTGCGGGTCGGCTTCAGCATTGTGGTAGAACGGGCTTAATGCAGCGCTGTGTTCATTATTGGTAACGGTCTGAAGAGACCGAAACGCAGGATCAAGGTTACTATGGCAACACGTTGCAAGTTATTCCCTCCCCGCTTGCCTGGAGACGGGTTCGTGGCAGCCAGCAGGCCTTCAGATTAAACTCCGTTTGATGAGCATCATCAATAAAAAACACCCAGTGTGGACATCTGCTGCTCTAACCTCGTCCAACTGCCTTAGACATCGATGCTGAACAGCGTCCATTACGCTCTAATTGGGTCTTCACCACTTATTCTGAAAGGTGTCAAATAATTCTAGCCTGTACTGATTGTCCATGATGAAAACCATCGCTTTAAAGCCAAATAGAGCCAAAAGTAGGAGCTGTAATACTTTATGATAATGAATGACATGAGTAACAAAAACTAAAACAAAACAGAAAACTCTTCCGATCTGAAATGTGGCTTCAGAAACACCAAAGACTTCACATAAAGCAACTTAAATAATGATTAAAAGATTTATTACAAAAAAATAAATAAATCATGTGATATTCATATCCCTGACAAAAGTCTTTTTTAAACCCTACCAGTTTATTTCAGTTAGGAAGTCACACAAGCACCTACAAAAATATTTATTTTAACGTACCAATTACAATAACACAGTACAGCATACTGAAAATAATTAGTGGGAAACACTTTGTTGGCATTACAGAGCCCAAATCAGTCAAGCTTTTAGCATATTTTAAGATTATTATGTAAAGATTACTGCCAGCCATACAAAAAAAAAAATGTTGGCAAAATTAAAATATTATTGTAAGAAAAATGTTGGGTAAAACTGTTCCCAATGCTGGGTCGAAAACAAAACCAAGAGTTTTCAGCACATACAAAGTTATGCTACTGAGTGGAGCCTGAGATGATGGACCACAAGTCTGTCACTAACCGACCCAGCATGTTAGTCGACATGCTGGGTTAAAAAAACAGAAAGAAAAAGAAAAAGGTTCTGAAAACAAACAAAAAAACATTTGAATGTTTAATAACTACATTAGTTAATATTTAAATGTTTTCTACCTAAAGACACATCTGGTGTGAGGAGTGAACTATCAAAGAGCAAAAATAAACAAGTTTCCTTTATACTGACATTCAGCTGCTATAGATCTCCCTTCACAAAGTTCATATTTGACATAAGAAACATACCTGAACTCTGCAACCAAACCACAGCTCAGGTACCAGTGTATGTGATTTCACCAGAAGTGAACTTACACTGACGGTTTGTAAAACTATTACAAAGTAATCTGGCATAATACATGACAGATACAATCCCCTCCTAATATGTGAAATAGTTAACTCCAACAGCAAAGATTGCATCTTTTTTAGTATGCCAAACAAAATCAGTAAAATATCCAACGAACGGGAAGAAATGTTGACCATTTTAATCGACAGGTACTGCTGGAGCAGCACATCAAGGAGCAATTTATCCGTTTTTACTAGTTTAATAAAATGACTGATAGCAAAATATTATATGAAATAAAATCAGGACTAATAACAGCATGTGGAGCACACTGATGTGATAACATGTGCTACATTTATTAGAGTTAAATTACTTAATCTCCACCCTTTTATGAAGCTAAAAGACGAGATAAAACTGATGAGTCAGAGGAAGAGCGTAGAAAAGAAATACACAGATTCTGCCCTGTAGACAATATTATGACCTCCCCATTTCGGCTGGCCACCTACATATTAATTCTTCATAAATATGAATGCTTAATGTCAGGGGAATAAAACATAGTAATGATATTGTTGTACGTAGAAAGCGATTAAACCACATTTTCTCAGCCTCTCTCCTCCATGATCATAATTATGCCCACCGTTTCTGGTCACAAAGAACTTACACAAGGTGAAACCACTGAAGACACCGAAGGTTCATCAACAATATAGCATCCAATTGCGATACTGCCCACACTGAGCTCACAGTGACTGAATTATACTGTGTGGCTCTTTTCACAATCTAATAACTGCACATCGCCCACCTCTACCTGAGACCAGGAGCCTAAGCAAATGACCCACAGCTGCCCTGACCTACCAACTGAAAATTGCTTTTTAAGGCCTATAACCAATAAAAAGTAATCTGTGTAATTTTAATTTTAACTCAACAATTAAATGCACCAGACATTGATTATGAAGCAGGGTTTCCCCCAGAAAACCTGCTAAGCCTGGTGGTTAGTTATTCATCCAGTGGGCCGACGTGTTTTTAAGTTAAAAATTTTTTAAAGCCCACAGAAAATTTGAAAATATCAATGGCTATTGGAACACCGACTATAAAGTCCGACTATAAAGTCTTTAAAAAATGCAAGCATTAAAAAAAACAACAACAAAAATAATGCTTAGCTTGGTGGGGGCACAAATAAAGCCTGGTGGCCCGCCAGACTTATAACACGTTTTCTGAAAAGAAAAACATTTATGGTACAGTTTGTGATAAAAAAAGGTAAGTAGTTTTTAATCCAAAGCAAAATAAAATCACTACAAGATCAATTTAATTTATTCGTCAAATATATCCCTAACATTTGTCTGATTTTACAGCCACAGAACATTATGTTTGTCGATGTGCTTAATTTTCAATTCTGATGCATTTAACAATCAAGCACAAAGAAATCAGAGCTGATCAAAGGAAAACTGAATATCTGATTTGATTGATGCATTACCATCTGTCTGATACAAGGGAAACAAATATAGATTCACATCCAAACTGATGGTTTTACATTGTGATCATAGAACAGCAGCACTCCGGCGTGCCTCAATAGCCAGATGAGATTAGAAAATTAGGTCGTGGGATGGCTGGTGAACTACGTGTTGTACGGGGATTAACAGGGGACCAAACGTACAAAGAGGGCCTGCTAAGCTCCAGTCAACCATGGGTGGCAATGATCTTTGAGGAGAGAGAGAAAAATCAGTCCACAGCTACAAAGCGTCCACCTGCAGCCCTGCACTGAAGTATGATGGTGAAAAACAACCGTATCTTGTAGCTAATTATGGCTAGCTGCCTTTACACACAGGCCCTCTCTGTTCTCTTTGGGGAGGAGGGGAGCTGCGTTGTTTCATAACACACTTTCAACACCTACAGCAGCTCCGAGACGTCCACTGTTCCCCAAAAACGAACCGCTCGATTCCAGCACACGCTCACATTACACCCGGACGCGTTCACGACGCTCATTCACAGATGGCAACAGAGATGAAGCAGAACAAACGATTTTATTAGCGGACAAAACAAAATGGCGGAGGAGAACGGCCTAGAGCCGTTAACGTAGGACGGTTAAAAACTACCACTGTAAACACAACCCACCAGCTGAAATCATTAAAAAATACAAGCAACGTAGGGATATAAAGCTACTTATTTTATAAATAAGTGATACAACATGTTAATTCAAGTGATAGCAGCGTATGCTAAAGCAGCAGGGTAGGCTAGCCGAAGCTACGAGTAGCATCAAACCAAGCTATCGTTTATCCGGTAACATCTGCTGCGTAGTTTTTGATCCTTAACACCCAATCACACCAGAAACAACTTAAACATCTCATATGTAGCATAAAACAAGCAAAGCATTCCCCAGTTGAACAGCCAACGCGTCCATTTAAAATCAAACTCCCAAGCTATGCTACATGACCGTTGGCTAACAACAACAATAAAGACACAAAAATATCACAGCTTCTCCACAGAACGTCGCTTTAGCTAACCATCAGGGGTAACAAGGACATACTCGGGTTCAGTTTAGTGTAACCGAAGAGTTAATAGCGTGTTGGAAATGTCCATCCACTGACCTGGTCTTGTCCCGACTTGTCTCGAGGTTGTATCGCAGAATAAGCTTAGCTTCGCTGCTACGGCGTAGCTTTCTAACCTCCTGCAAAGACACGCAGACACACGGAAAGAAAACGTCTTTGCAACAACTGCCTCCAACTTTGATTAGATCGATACTGTACAAGATAACAGGAGGTATTCGGCTTACTTTCTTGTTCCTTTTCCCCCCCTAAAAAAAATAAACGAAAACGGGAAAAGAAAATTGTTGATTCTGGACTCAATCCGTCACCTAAAGAGCCGTCAACGGCTACTGGGTGAATTTCGTGCGATGGGAGCCGTTTGGGACCTCAACAGAAACGACAAATGTGACAATTATTAATATTATTTGAAAAATAAAAATTGGGAGGGAAAAGTACTTCATTCAAGAAGAGTCTATATATATTTAGAAACAATACTAAAAGCTGTTATTTTATCCCGTCTTGTTTGATTCCATCAAGTGCTGTTTTAGAGGACTTTAACATGAGATCAGTTCATTTGATCGATGTGGGTTATAGATTTTAAAAATGGAAAATATTCCAAGTACGACAAAAGAATAAATAATTACAACAACAAAAAAATGCACGTTTTTCCATAGGGGGTGCTATTGCATGTAGAGCAACAGCGTTATCAGGCAGTTCCCAAAGCATCTGACAGCCAAAACTGGGATTTAAGGTCCAGGACGCTCCATACACACACGGTTTATCATTACAAGAACTTGATATGTAAAAGAAAAAAATGTAGAAAATTTTAATATAATCTAAAAGTTTATCGTTTTACAAATTCAACTGAAAATCACTGATTTGATACAGTGAATTTATCATTTTGTTTTGATGAAATGGACTGATACAAAAAACTCAATGTTCCATTTCTCTGAAAATTAGAAGCCTACATAAGACCAAATAATAATAATAATAATAATAATAATAATAATAATAATAAAATATATATATTCTGAAATGTTACCTACCTAAAAATAGAGTAAAGATAACTTTTATTGTCACTTATTGGGGAAATATTATAAAGTAAGAAAAGAATGTACAGTAAGGGCAAAATTACAGCATCATCCAAAAAATGCCATTGTTTCAAAAACATTAATTAAAAGAAATGTGCAGTTGAGCAGAATAATAAAAAAAAATTGCTTGTATCTGTGAACAAAAACAGGCTATTTACAGGGAGGTAAACATTTATTAACTTTACTAAAAGTGAATAAGCAGCTGGAGGAGAAGCCCAGGTTGATGTAAAATCAGCTTTCAGGTCATCTTCCTCTCAAATTACTCCATAAAAACTCTATTAAGTTTAGATTAGACCAGTTCCATCACAGTAATCCTCAGGTTATTAAAGTATTAGTACGGTTGGGCTGTGTGGGCAGGTGCCAAATCCTAAACCAACTTCCCTTTAAAGCTTGGCAGCAAAAGAAAAGGTAACATTTCCTAGTGGATGACTGCAATGGCTTTTGATTAAACAAAACTCAGCAGACCAACACCAGAAAATAACACGATGACTCCCCAAAACCTGAATCTGGATCTTAATTAACTTGTGTTTTGTATCTTTACTGCCTCTTGATATTCAAAGTAAATGAAAATATACTTTAATCTGAAAAGTAATTTGGACCAGTGAGCAATATTATGGTCTTATTCTAATGTTATGTCAGAAATAAAAAGCTGTCTTTCTCATACTGTGCATACATATCTCCTTTCAACTGTACTTATAGTAGGAGTTTACAACTTTTATAACCTAAAGGGTCAATTTTTAGGTGAGTTTAACAAACAAAAACTAATTTAGAGCCGCTAATGTGAAATAACTGTTGAAAAAAAGGCAACTTGTTCTTTTTGATGAATATCTACTATATAAAGGTTATTGTAAATTTTGAAGAACAATAATTTTGTTACATCTTTTTGTTTTAAAATTAAAAACATAAAAGTTTAGCATAAAAAGGATAACAACATAGTTTTGAACATAATGACAAGATACAGCTCTGTAAAAACTAAGAGTCCACTGCACTGAACCCCATTAAAACCTCCTGGTTATAACTTCCAATCCCACTTCTCAGAGGATTATGTTTTTATTTTAACAGCAGTAGGAATCAGGATCAGACTCAAGTCTACAGGTTAAATAATTTCCATAAATAAATATGACACCTTATCAGCAAATTGATTTTATTTATTTGAACAGCAGTCCCTCAAAAAGAATAACATGTTGGGAATTTGTATTTATGAAGTCACAAGGAAAAGGTTCAAAAAGCAACAGTCTCCCACCAGCATACAGTGATGGACTGAAAGTGTCTTGTAATGAAAAACATAAAGAAATAAACAGCTGTTGGGTATTATTTTGTGTTTAGACAGAAACTAGATGTTTGTTGTCATCTGACCACCGTAGAAAAATCTTAGTGAGTTCAAAGTATTTAATGATAATTAGGTCATATTCACTAATCTCTTTCACACACAAATATAACAAAAAACCAACATTGCAACTGTTTTTAAATCACTTAAACTCAACAATAATTACAAAAATATACAAGTACATCATCCCATATGACTATTTATACTGCTGACATATAATTACATAAAACAAAAAATAATCATGCATGAATTTATGGAGGGAAGAAAATATATAATTTCAGAACTCAAATGAATTACGAAGAAAGTAATTACCTTGTAGGTTAGCTATACCAGATATCTGAGTGTTACATTCAATGAAATCCCAAAACAATAAGGCCAATTTAAAAACAAAAGTTTTGTTTCATGTTAGAAACAGGATTTCACTGCAGTGGCTGGAAACTGTGGAAAGATTAAAAAGTGGAGTGGGATCTAATTTCACAGTTATTCCCTGTGCTTTTTCCTAACATGTGAAACTCAAACCCATAACAGTCAAAATCACTGGAAAATATATAAAGTCCTCTAGTTTAGAGTGAATAAACAGCATAAAAATCTGAATTTACATAGCAGAGAATCCAGTCTTGTTATAAAAAGGTTGTTTTTTACTCTGAATGTCAGATTTCTGCAGAAGACTCTGGATTTTTCTCAACCAGTTTGCATATTTTACATTAGTTCCTACAAATTCGCTCATTCTGCTGACATAGAACCTCTTTCTTTGTATCAAACCTCCCAAGCTGTCAAATATAGTACCTTTAGCGCAGCGCTGTCAAACTCACTTTGGCCCAAATCAAGATCAAAAATGCTCTTAAAGGGCCGGTTGTGCCAGAATGTATTGATAAACTGTTAAAAATATTAATGAATTCTTAAAATTAAATAATGTTGAATATATTTTTAGTCCCTCCAGAATTTTGCGATTGTTTTTGAGATTTTTTTTAATTTTATTTTTTTTAATCAAAATGTTTATGGTGCTAATTTGGAAATATGACAGTAAATGCGACTTTTTATTCCTTGCTGTATAGATCATGGACTATAACTTGAGATCAATTAACGTTGAGGCACAAAAATGTGTTGGGATTTGTTGATTTTGCATGAATTTCCACAATAATTCCCCTGAAACTGAAGGGACTGAATAATATAATTTAGTAGTAAACAGATAAAAACTGCATTGATTTGACTGAAAACATGATAAGTAAGCAGACTTGATGTTTAGTGTAGAACCTAGAGGACCACATAAAAAGCTACGGCGGGCCGGATTTGGCCCACCGGCCTCCAATTTAACACATGTGCTTCACATCGCTTTTTATGTACTGATATGTTACATTATTTAAAGTGATAACCATTGATATTACGGTTACTCTAGGAAGCAGCTTGATTCAGACCTTCTGGTTCTTAACATCAGAAACAGTTTGAATGAAGACAGAAGTCGTAGTTTCAGCATCTAGAATGAACACAAACATCATCCATGAGCTGTGACTCGATGCAGGCTGGATTTGGCCCGCATGTCGTCTCCAAGGAGCTGGCCGGACTAGAACTCCCATATAAAATCTTTCCATGAAGTAGAAGGAAAAATTTCATTTTTTTTCTGCTGTTTTTAGAAATTAGTACACCAAGCATCTTTAAAGACAAAGTTTAAAAGTAAATCATATGATTGACGTGGTAAAAATAGCATAAATCCCTGCAAAAACACAAAGTCTTACCAAGTATTTCTGCTCTACTTTCCAGTGCAAATATCTTTGTACACTTGACATAAAACAAAAATAACTTATAAGTAACTATTCAGCAAGAAATAGGAGTTTCTTTAAGTGACTAATTTCTTAATATTGATTAAAAACAGTTCCAGTTCCATTGGCAAGTTATTTCAATTATAGCAAGACATTTTTTGCATGTTATAAATGAAATAATCTGCCGGTGGAACTAGCATTTTTCATCAATATTAAGAAATTATTCACTTAAACAAACTCCTATTTCCCGCTGAAAAGTTACTTGTAAGTTATTTTTGTCTTATTTCAAGTGTGCTAAGATATTTTCAGTAGAAACTGGACCAAAATTTTTTGTTCAGACTTTGTGTTTTTGCAGTTCTGAATCATTCTTTCATTTGTATTCCCCAAGAACCTCCTGTTTAGCCAGGCTTTGTCCATTAAAATACAAATTGAGACTCATCAATTATTTGGCAAAATAAGATTTTGTTATAAAAATAATAAAAGTAGGAAAAACAGACCAAGAAGCCAGAAATTCACAGTGCAGGGCCTCCTTTTCCCAACATCCATTTTTAAGTGTGTTTAAAAAGTCTCTTATTCTCTTCCTGAGAAAGTTGTTGTATTATCTTCTTGTATCCTTTTTCCCTTTAGGGTTTAGATCTGAGAAATAAACAGAATTAAATAGGAAGTCAGAGGAAAGTGAAAATATTTTCATCGATTGACTCCTGGTGGAGTTGCTTCTTCTTACCTCCGACCCGTGCGTCCTACCGGCCGCCGTACAGGTGGATCTTCACAAACGAGATAGTCTCAATGATGTCCTTGTGGCCCTTCTCATAAATGACGAAGATGTATTTCTGGTCTTCTACAGAGTCATCGTTCAGAGATGTAATGCAGGAGTAGCCGCTCGGCCCTGGCCAGATCTGGACGGCTTTGTTCTCCCAGGTTTTTCCGTTCGTTAGCGACCATCGTAGCGTCAGGTTTACTCCTGAGGAGAGTTCAGTAAGGTTACGCTCACACTGCGGCCTGGATGGACCCAATTACAATGTTTTTGTTGTAAACTCTTCCAAATAAATGAGATTCCTGTATATCCAGTATGATCTGCAAACGGCCTGAAAGTGTCCCACATGCGCAGTAGAGGGAGCAATAACATCACATATAGAGAGCATACTCAGTGTTTCGCCAACCGCCATGAAAAAGAAAGAAGTGCTCAGTGTTTGTAGATATGGAAAAGAGAGAAACTATATGAAGAGAGAAACTGAAACTAATAAGGAAAAGGTTTGGTTTTTTATTAAAAAAGAACTTGGATAGTAAGTAAGCATATATAAATCATTATTTGATTTTTAAAGTAAACTAAATTGCTTCATAGAATTTGATTATGATAGATAGATAGATAGATAGATAGATAGATAGATAGATAGATAGATAGATAGATAGATAGATAGATAGATAGATAATTAAAATCCTTATGAGCCACACTCTATACCAGTAGGTGGCGATAATGCAACTTAACGTCTGTTGTTAACCCCCAAGAAGAAGAAGAAGAAGAAGAGAAAAAGAAAGAGAGAGAGAGAGAGAGAGAGAGAGAAAGAAAAAAAGAAAGAAAGAAAGAGCTCCGTGTTTGCGGAAGTAAACATGGATGCTAACGGTGAAGCGTATCGATTTTAAAGTTGTTGTCCGATCAGAGCCATCATATTAACAATTTAATCCTCACTGTAGTTCGCCATGTTTGTTGTCTTTCTTCCCACTTGCGCATATCAGGATGCAGAATAGTGACGTTTGTCGAGTATCAATGACGTTCCGTTCGATGAACGCGACCTGGCCGTTAGGATTCAAGGATTAAGTCACATTTGAAAAAATCGGATAAACAACTGGGCTTGGTCGCGTTCGAAAAAAAAAAACAACAAAAAAAACGATCTGTGTTGTTAAGACTGTCATGAACAGATCAGGTACAGGTGACACTAAGGCGAACCAAAAATCGGAATTGGGTCATTTCCGGCTGCACTATGAACATAGCTTAAGCTAGGTAGCTTTATCTCTTCTGATTTTACCAACAAAAGCGGATATTTGTAAAAGTATTTACTCTTTTGGTCGTTGGACGGGTTGGTGAAGTAGAGCACCCCGTCTTTCTGCAGAGCTCCAGCCGCGACAACGGGATCAATCAGCGTGGTGTCGAAGACCAGCTCTTCCACGGGGAGCGTCAGGCCTCCGTCCAAACTGCGCACCACGATGCGGCAGTGGCAGTGGTAGTTGTTCTGGTTCCGGACGTTGATCAAGATGCTGCCGTCCATCAACTCAACGGGCTGCAGGAAGGCAGAAACAAACGGACAGGTTTCGAAAGAAAGGAGGTATGTTAGGAATAGTGATTTGTTTTCCAGAGCATAAAAAAATGCTCAAAATCTTTATAAAAATACCAAAATTTAATTTGTTTATAGAATTAAAAATGGAGACCATTGGTGCAACATCAGCAGAGGTTTGAAACCTTGCAGTTGAGGCAATCATACATCAAGAAAAGCATCATTTACTACATATTACTATCTAAATATTGTTTGTAAAAGCAGTGAATGTAGTCAAAAAGCCTACAGTAAGGGACAATATTATCCAATACTGAGTTTTAATTAGTGAAAATATAGAGGAAAATGGAATCTGAACATAAGTAGAATGTGTAATTACTTTCTTTTGTTTTTATTCTGTTCATCCATCCATTATCCTGTCCTGAATCAGGAACCGTCTGCAGTCCTTGGAATATATTTTAATATATATCTAACATTGTTTTATATTTTAAAAAATGTTGGATGCAACACAAAGCATTTCTCTTTTATTAATCCTAATTTTTTTACTTTCATTTTGATGTCATAGTAAGTCAGATCTCAAACTTCCTGAGACTTTTTCCTCAAAAACAGACTTGAGCACAATCATTCTTTAAACTTTGATAAATGCAGCGAGAGTTTTTAAATTAAGTTCTCATTGTTGTAGAATAAAAACATTTTCTAGACGGCAAAATTAAAAAAAACATTCAATATAAAAAGCTGGAAATCTTTACTTCTATTAAGGCAAACACTTGAGAAACTATGTTGGACATAAAGTATTTCCTTTCTTTCTCTTTTTTAAATTGTAATATTGCATGTCTGATTTATTTTTTATTTATTTATTTTCATTTTAATTGTAAAAAGGGAATGACAGCCCCTCAGGACCTTTGGCGTTTGTGGTAAAACGTTTCAAAACCAGATTTTGTGTTGGAAAAAAAAAAACAAAGCAGCCAGCAGGGGGCGATAGATCTCAGATTCAGTCTAACATCAGCTGTTTGTCATTGACTCAACTTTACCTGCTATTAACATTTGAAACATTTAAATATACACAAAAAGCAAAATCCAAAGACATTTGGAACTGCACACCACACAACTGACGATACTTGGAGTTTTCTTAGTCATAGTTGGAGAAAACAGCATCTTTGTGCTACAAGCAGTGCAATAAATAAAACAAAACATGGGATCCTGCAGCATGCAGTCCTCTCTGTCTGGACAGAAACGTACCTGGCACTCATCAGGGTTGAAGTCCTGAGCTTTCTTCGGTTGGTTGTAAGGGATGCTCTTCAGGGCTGCTCCGTTGCGCCACGTTTCTCCATGATCGTCGCTCAGGATGCAAAACACTCCATCCCCCTCGATCGTCCCATGGCCGCACACCACCAACCGCCCCTTTGCAGGATCAAGGCGCTTCTATAGCACAAAAGGACACAAAGGTTTCAGAATTTAATAGCTCTTATTGTTATCACACAGGTTTTTTACAATTTTTTTAGGTAAACAGAATGAATGCATCACAACACAGTTTTTGTCTGAAAAGGGCAGCCACTATCGCTGCAAACCCCACACATCCTGGACACAAACTGTCAGAGTGCTGTTTAGGGCTGCAACAAATGATTATTTTAGTAACTTGATTGTTTATTCTGATGATTAATCAAGTAATCGAAAATAAAAAATGTCACATTCTGCAGATTTTTCATTATACAGTATTAAAAACACAAAATACAAATAATTCAATTCCGTTTTTAAATAAGAAAGCAAATACTTTATAGCCAAAAATACAATAACATAGGATTCCTTTAACTTGTGGCTGATCATTTGTAGCAAAGGATGCATAATAAAAACGTCAAAAGAGATGAGATGTCAAATCAAGAGAAAGTTTTAGCGTTGGACAACTTCTGTTGGTTTTGCTTACAAATGGGGAAAAAAAGCTTCTAATTTCATCTGCAACCATGTGAGAGAGATGTCAGAGTGAGGAACCGCATCAAATTAAATGAAAATGAAAATATATAAATGTACCTTAAAGGGTGTCAGACTTTCTATTTCATACTAAACTATAAGATTTCAAGGTCTGTTTTGTAGGAAAAGAGACAAAGGAGAGAACAAACTCATTAATTATTTTGTTTACAGGTTGTAGCGACACAGTGGCCGATAATCCGGCGCCCGCAATGTAAACAGCACCTTCAAAGTCCATCGTTCCTGTTTGGACCAGGAATAAAATGTCCTCAAAATACCCAGCAACTTCCACAATCACATCCTCCCCTTTGGAGGAGGTCTGAAAAACACATAAAAATAAATCTATCTCCCTTTGCTACAGCATAATCTTACACTAGAAGTGTAGAAAAATTCACAAACCAAGAATCCATTATGTCGGATAAAGACACGCATTGCAAATCTTATATGATAAAGTTTTGTCATCTTAGAAAAAAGTAAAGAAATTATTGGTGCCAATAATGGTGCTATTGGTAACTTTGCAAAAACAAAAAGAAAAGCTATTTCTTTACATTACTTTTTTCTTTGGCCCGACACAAGGCGTTGCCCTGTCGAGTATCTGCACCGAAATCCACAGGAAAACAAACAAAATGGAAGCAAATCAAAGGAATTATCTGCCTGAAGCTTGCATCACTTAGCAGAAAGATGCAGACAAAGACGATGCAACGGCCAGTAGTGTTTGCAGAGTTGTAATCAGGGAGATAATTTTTACTTCTCTTTATCCACCAACAGATAACCAAATCACTAAAACGTGATGTATGGGTGTTAAGAGAACAGATCATCCAAGTGAATCAATAAAATGTTGTTTTGAAAACATAAAAGGTTAAAATCATGCTGGATGGTTTCAGATCTAACAAGCAGTTGTTCCTCATTTTGGAAGCTGTTTATCTGCTCTTTTCACACTTTATTATTAGCTTTTATATATATAGCTACATTTTTCACGCTTTAAGAAAAAACAAACATTTTTTTCCCCTTTAAAAGTCATTTCAACATAAAACTCAGCCTGGAGACGCTTCACGCCGACTGTCTCCTGGATTGCAACAAAATGCCAAGACTATTAATGAGAAAACTGCTTATAATAACTCAGTGCTGTCATGTGCAAAGAAGCAAAACAACTTTTATTATCAAGCGACTGAGGCTGGGATTCTAACTAAGAGTTAACAACATCTGAGCTGATGCAGAGGGAAACGTTTTCATTTGACACCAAAGGCAAACATCTCAGAGGTTTCACATCACTTTTGGACTGTGGCCGGCTTAGCTTGTGGGTAAATTTGCTATAAAACCATGTGATCACATGCAGAGTGGTTTGCTATGAAGAGGGATCCATAAAGCCGGGTTTCCTCGCTGCAACCTGGCCTGATCCAGCCTAAAACTGGAGATGGCATGTTGGTTTGTTTACTCTGGCTCCAGCTTACATGAAAAAATAGCTAAATTTCCACGCATATCAATATTTCACACTTATAAATGGGGGCAAGGATGGAAAATTAGGACGTTTATTTTCAGTATGGAGTGAAAAATGTATGAAAGCAACACACCAAATTAAACAGCAAGAATGAAAATCATGATTCTGTTGCTTTACAGAAACAGTTTTCATCCACAAACTGACAAAATGTTGCAAATCCACTGTGACCAGATCAGATAAATGCCACTACATTAATATGTGAGTATGGCAAGTCTAGGTGTAGCAACACAACAAAATGAAATGCAAAATTCAGCTTTCATGATCCAGATGGATGTTTTTTTTTTAGAACGTTTGCAACTTGGAAATCGACATAACTTTGGCCACATCAGATGTTTATTGAGGCTTTTAAGGTGATTTTTCCCCCCCTCTGACTCGAAACAAGAACTAATTTTGTTTCCTGTTTTATTGTAAGCAGAATTAAAAAAAAATACCACAATTGTTCAATGTTCAGCTATAAAGAAAATAAAATAAACACCGCGGCTCACTGAGTAGCTGGATACCTTTTCAATGACTCAGAAAGATTCTTCTAAAATGATGATCTCAGGCCTTTAACTGTGTGCATGTGATGTGAAAGACAACATGTACATGTGATTTTGTATGACCGCAATAAAATGCAGCTGTAAAACAGGCCATTCAGCTTAAAGTTTAGCCAATTTTACAGTGAAAAGTCTTTATTTGTGGTTAAATTAAAACAGAGCTGTGGTCTGCAGACCCTCCAGGACTGATTTAAATGTGGCTGGATTGCAGAAAACATGGCAAACCTTCTCAACTTGAAGGTAATTATTCTCATATTTTCTTGGAACTTGCTAAACAGGTTTCTGCTGCTGCTGCTGCTTTCCTCGCTGTAGGCACTTCCTGCATCTCCACCATCAGTTACAGTAAAACTGATCAGGAGGAAGCACCATTAGGGTTGTCCTGTTCCCATCACCTTATCAGCAGGGTTTCAGTCACAATGCTGCCACTACACAGAGTGTGGCATCCTGAAAAATAGTTTTAACCTGGAGTACAGCACTGGGTGCATACTCTTGGTGAATGCTGTCAAAAGTTGTAATAAACCCTATGAAGTTCTGCTTGTACACCTAAAACTTCTTTCTCCTCCTTGACAAATATGATGGCAAATGTTTACTTTGACAATCTGAAAACTAGATTTTAAACTGCAGCCTCCCAGCTCCGTCTCCCAGCAACCAGCACAGCTACACCAGGGTTTCTGCAGGTTTCACTGACTCAGACATTTTAAGACCTTTTTAAGACCACTATGAATAAACTTTAAGACCTAAATCATAACAGAAATGTACAAAAAAACTGCATATTTTATATAGTAGTGCCAACAAGGGACGTAGCATCATACGGGTTGGCAACAAAAGTGTCATCCAGCCATCTGGAGATAATTTACACTTACCAATGATAAACAAAAGGGCTAGCTAGCAAGGTTTTATTAGCAGCTAGTTAGCGGTAGCCTCAACTGAGAAAAATAAACTACATAAACATAAAAAATAGTAATGCCACAACAAAATTTAGGATTTGTGTTAACGTATTTAAGGCCAACTTGCAAATTTCTAATTTTAGATACACTAATTTAAAACTTTTCAAGGATGCTTGCTGCAGTTTGGAAGCGTGTGTGTAACAAACTGTTTTAATGAGGGATCCGTCATGAAAAATCAAAGCACAACAAAGAAATTTTGTCTTCTTTTTCAATTTGGCCATAAAAAAAATCATAAAGAAAATACAAAAACAGAACAAAAGTGGCATAAATTAACAAGAACAACCCATTAGAGGTGCATCAATTTAGCTAGCAAGAACTCTGGACTCAACACAGGCAGCCGATTTATCGGCACCGATTTCCTTAATTTTGGGATCAGTTGATACTTACTGATCTTATCTACCTCAGCAAAGGTCTAAAAATCAACCACTGGCCTCTCCTGCTCTGCAGTGAGAGAGACCGACCCTCCAGGTCATGTTTACACTTTGGCATTTAACAATATTCACCTCACTGTTGCCAACTCTGCAACTTTCTTGTTATATTTAGCGACAATTCAGACAGAAAACTGGTATTGACCAAAATTGGAATCGGCAAGTCACGCTTTTTAGAGATCAGTAATCGCCGATCGACCAGAAAACTGCAATCAGTGCATCACTAAACTTCAGGTCTCACCCACCTCCTTTCCCCTCGACTGATATCTTATCACATCAAAGATCAAATCAATCCTTCTTCACTTAAAGTTATCAATATATTTTACAAGGGGTCCCCAAGTCTTATTGAGTCCAATCAGGATTCTTACATGCTGACCTCTTCCTAGAGGTCAAAGTTCATGTATGAAGAACTGGGGAATTCTAATGCGATGTTATTCAAGCATATCTGGGATCTGCTTTCTCACCTGGATGCCGAATCCCGGCCCAGGAGCGAAGGCCTTCACTCCCAGCTGGACCGAGAGGTTTTTGGGTCGGCTCCAGCTCAGGCCGTCGTCCCAGCTCTCCACCATCATGGTGCTAGCCGGCTTGCAGTGGTACAGGTGGAAGCAGATGGTGTAGATCAGAATCACCGAACCGGCCTCTTCGTCCACAACCACGGAGCCCAGGTTCAAGCCATCCGGAAAGCTGCCATCGTCCACTATGAAGGTGGTCGGAGACCAGGTGTTTCCTGTGGCAGGTGATGGAAATGAAACAGACTTCAACTTTCTGGAAACCAAATGCTTTAAGGTGATCCAAGAGTCTATACAAAACCCATAAGTATGTGGAGCTTTATATGATATTTTTCAGTGTGGTGGTCCTGCCTTTGTCAGTGGATCGCCTCACTGCGATAAACTTTGCCCCTATGTCACTGGACGACGCCTTCCTGCCCTCGGCGATGGCCAGCAGGCTTCCTTGTGGAGTAAAAGTGATGAGCGGGATTCTGTAGGTGTTCACTTGACCCTGTTTGCCGCTCACCCACAGCAGCTGCTCCTCAAACACCAGAGGGTCAAGCTAAGCAACACAGACGAGATGGTAAAGAGTTGGCGTCAAGGATAAGAAAGGCTGACAAAGGGAAAGATGAATAGCTTGAATGTTTGAGAGCAGAACAGGTTGAGGCATGAAAAAATATCTGTATCATCAGCAGTCTTGTTACAGTCTGGTGAAAGCGTGAAAGGGAAGTACAAAGCAAAGGCTTGAGGAACTTCACCTCGTTTCTGTTTGTGAGAAAAAACAGCAAACAGGTGGAGAAAACATGATTACACCTGAATAATACTGGAATGTGTGTAAATTCCTCTCTAATGAGCTTTGGAGTTTAACATCTGGAATGACTGGATATATTATATTATCAGCAACAACCAAACTCTACTTAGAAAGTTTTTTCTTAAAGGGCAGTAATATAGATTTCCAGGCACGTTGTGCCGTTTTATAGCACAATCAAGTAACTATGTTACCTTTAGCTGTTATAATAATGCTGAATTTATCAACCATAACAAATTAAATTTGATGCGTCTGTCTCTTTAAGAAGCTCCTCCTCTGTCTTACGTCGCCTTCATTAAGTTATCACATCAATGCTCCTCCATCATGGCATTTACAACCATTCTTAGGAAGCCTGGACTGAGAATTAGTTTTTATAATAAACTCAGGGAGTACCACCAGGTGTTCACTATAATGGTATATAACACTATAACATTACATAAACCTGAAACAAAGTCAGTTTTGAACAATGCTGCTCTTTCTTCAAGTATTTTCATATTTAATGACGATAACTCCACTTTAACAGGAAGAAACCTCCAGCAGAACCTGGCTCAGTACAAACGATCATCTCCCTCGACCGACTGGAGGTTTGAGGAGACAGAAAAAATTCCTAGGAGCAAGAAGTCTGGTTAAAAAAAGTTTTAAAATAAAAACCCAGCCCCTTTTTCTTTGTTTTGCTTCATACAAACGATATGGAAGCATGGAATCTGTTGAAGTTTAAAATTTTACCCAACTTCTAACGTCTGTCATGTCTAATGCGCCGGTTCGACTCTGTAAAGCTTACCAGAAAAAAAAAAGCTTACCGGAAACTGCCCTAATTTGCCATATTTAACCTTTTCCTGTTTGTAACCTCTTTCTATTTGTAACCTTTTCCTGTTTGTAATTTTTGCTCATTTACCTTCCTTAAGCCTCATCGTTCTTTTAGTTTCTGTTTATGTAACTTGTTGTACATTTTATTGTAAATATAAAAAAAAATCTTGCTGGAAGTTGTCTATGCCGTGAACAGCCATCCTCCTCTGCGAAGAGGGAAGTACCGAGCCAAACAAGGCGACTATTAATTTTAATTCAGTATCTGTAAGCGTGACCAACACGGACTGAACGGCTTCGTTCACGTTCCCCGCTGCTGTTGACAAAAAGAAACGGCGCAGAAAACTGACGCCATCGTCCAGAAGTTCTCTGTTCGTTGGTTGGCCCGGCTTAGAAATCTGAAATGTGAGACTCTCAGTTGAATATGTCCGCAATATTCCACGCAGATAAGAAGACTACACTCTTTGGATAACGTTTCTACAAACTGAGTAGATGGTCACTTCAGAATTTATCAAATTCTTTGAGGAATCAATTCAACAAAATATCAGTAACATTTCTCAGAGATTTCAGATGTTGACATGATAGAGCCCCATTGTTGCTGCAGGTTTATCAGCTGTGTATCCATGATGCAAGACTCCACATAAATTGACCTATTGAACTGAGATCTGGTGATTGTGGAGGCCATTGGAGAACAATGCACCATCATGTTCCAGAAACCAGTTTAAGGCGATTTAAACTTTGTGACATGGTGCATTATCCTGCTGGAAGTAGGATAATGCAGAGGAAGTCATCATAAAGAGATGGAAATGATCAGCAGCAATACTCGGGTAGTGCTTAATTAATGCTGAATTGTGTCAATAAAACATCCCCAATGCCTCCACCAGCCTGAACCATTGATAAGGCAGGATAGATCAGTTATTTTATGTTATTTTCCCCTAATTCTGACCCAATAATCTGAATGTTGCCACTGAAATCAAGACTCACTGCACCAGAAAATGTTTTTCTAGTCTGTTATTGTCCAGTTTTGGTGAGTTGATGCCAATTATTGCCAAAGTTTTCTATTCTTAGCTGACATAAATGACATGTGATGAGACCGTCTGTTACTTGAGCCCTTCTGATTTAAGGTTGCAATGGTATTCATCATACCTTGATTGTATTCAGTGGTTATTCAACCTATGGTTGCCTTTTATTATTCATTATTTGTAAACCCAAGAGATAGTGGTGTCTCAATAGAAAAGTAGTTTCTGAAATGCGAAAACAAGTCCATCTGGCGCCGACAACCCTGGTAGTTTCTAAATCACAAGTTCCAAGTTTTTATTCCGTCTGATACTCAGTTTTAGCTTCACTTCCAGTGTACCTAATAATATAGCTGGTGAGAGCATATTTGCAGATATGTTAAATAGAAAACCAAACAAACAGGAATAAGAAAGTAGAATATTATATGGGAAATCTGAATTGATGGGGCTCCTGGCATCTTTAGCCCCAAATGTGATTTATTTTGAAATTCGCCTCTTGAGATATGAAGATATGCAGAGTTTTAACCTTGGGAATCCTATTGTCAGTGAAACTACTATATCCAGGTGGAACTGAATTATCATTGAATAAAAAATGTAATCTAACACACTGTAAATATGAAACTGCTAGGGCATTTACTTTCATTTTGCTCTTCATGCACAACAGTAGGTTATATAGAGTATTTGTAATAGTGCTTATATAGAGTATTTGTAATAGTGCAATGGTTCATTTGTGTGTGTGTTAAGCGAAAAAAAAGACAATTTTCAAAAGAACATTTCAGCAGATATAAGCAGCTTGGAATATATTTTTTTTTCCAAAAGCCTGTAAAAAATCACAAATCCAAACCAGCCTTACGAGAAAGTCTGGTTCCTGTAAATTTGGAATAAAGCAGGTGGAGTTTGACACTAGATGACATAACTGAATTTCTCCATTTCGGTTTAACTAAACCGCTTTAAACTAAACAGCTTTATTAGCGCGGTTTTTACCTGCTTCGACCAGCAACATAACGGTGTTATACCATAATAATGATCGGTTAATAACAGTTTCAGTGTACCTGAGCCGAGCTGTAGGCACAAAGACATCCGGACAGCAGCGCACTGAGCAGTAAGAACACAGCAGAAGCCAAACTTCCGGTTTCCATGTTTGATTCAGCTCCTCCAAGTTTCTTCTTCTTCACTCCGAACAGATAAAATTCAACAAAACGGAGCCGAGTGACCAAAAGAGCCACCTGAACTAAAAACCAACTCTGTCACTCACTGACTGGTGCACATTTCTTGCTGTTTATCAGGCAGGTCATATGATCGGGAGGTCACGTGACTGCCGCGATCTGTCAAAATAAAACAGGAAATGACGCAATGTACGTCGCACGACTCCCACCTATCAAAACCTTGTCTCCGTTCACTTTTTTATGTCTATTTTTTTTTTTTTAAGAAACGCTACTTTTAATTTTGTGTTTGTATTATTTCCACAAACGTGTGTAATTATTAAGGTATTACTGTTACATATTTTTATTGCTACTACGAATAATAATAATATTATTAAAAAATAATAAAGAAAATGGTAGAAAAGTTAATTTATTATTATTTGGACATGATGTATAGGTGGAAGCATACAGCTACTGCTGCTATGACTATTATAATTATAACTTGGCTACTTTACATTTTGGATTCAGCTGCTCTCCTCAACTATTACTACGTCTTCTACTATTGTTAGAAGATTGTTGTCATTGATATCAATCTAGATTACTTTCTATATTTCTGGATCCTAATCTTTTTGTAAATGCTGCTGTTTCACTGTACAAACCCATAAAAATAATAGTAATAATAATATTGGTAATTGATATAAACAAAACAGGGAATTGGTAGGAATCTGAACATGTTAACATTATAAAGTGGAGGAAATTCAGCAATACTGCTACTTCTGTCGCCATCGCTATGAAAAACATCAAGTTGTAATTTATAATTGGTCCAATAGCCATATTAATCACCCAATAAAAACTGTTCAATAAAAGTTTTTCAATATATCATGTAATACAGCAATACTGTTCTACAAATCAGTTTGTCTGCAGTTACCAACATTCAGCCACAAGGGGGCAGAACTGACCAGAAACTCAATAACTTTCTAGTAAACAGTCTCCAGTTGAACAGAGATTTTTAAATCATACTTTTTAGTTTTTCTTTTTGTGTCTGGTAATAATCTGCCACACTTCGTGTTTTCTTGTTCTGGAAGTTTAATTTTAGTCTAAGCAGAACATTTACTTCCAGTGTTTTGGAAAACAGCTTGTTTTTCTTTCAATAAAAAGCTATTTTCTTACTGGTTTAGTGTACGGCTAACAGTTGCCATGCCAACAGATTTTCCTACCTGAGTTATGGATCTCTGCAGCTCCTCTGGAGTTTCCTCAGTTCTCTGATTAATGCCTACCAAGATGTGGTTTTCCACATCTTGTGCCAAAACATTTTCAGTAATCAGTGAATCCTTTATGACATGACATTTTCTAAATAAAACATTTAAAAAAAAACAAAGGTAAAAGATACACTTTTATAAATTCCTCTTTTACACTGATTGATTCTGTTTTGAGAGATGTCTGTATCATTTTATCTGGGTGGAATAAAGTAATTATAAACCTTCCTGGGGTATAAATAATTTTGGGCTTACTCTCTTAAAAGAAAATTAGTAGAAAACACTTTTGGCACTTCATTACTCCCTTCTTATAATTCTCAACCAGCTTTTTTGTCAGATATTTTTGAATATTTATTTTGGGTGATGAGGTCAAACTCGTTAAAGTTATAAAGCCACGCTAATATTTAGTTTCTTTCTCAGCTTTTCTGTCTAGTTTGGACTCACTACAAAACATTAGCACTACCTCCAGGCCAAAGAAACATGTTGGTAAAATTATCTTAAACCTAAATTTGGCAGTCGTTTATGTGTATTTAGTAAATTTTTCTCCTTTTTACTACTTTTTGACATTGAAATAAACAAGCAAAATACTGTCTGGAATTCACACGTTTTCAATAAATGATAAAATATTTTCTGAATTGACTGATTTGTCGGATAAAAAGTACCTTTTGAAAATACTATCTTCTACTCTTTAAGTCAAATAAATGTAACAAGTTTTATATTTTGAACCTAAATGTGTGAGTTTGTGAAAGATAAGCTTACCGTAGTAAATTGTGTTAACTTTTTATTAATTTTGTCAAACCTTTTTTTCTTGCATATTGTGAAATTATTATTTGGTTTAAATTGCAGCAGTGAGTTAAAACTCACAATTCAAGAGAAATGAACTTAAAAACAGTGTTTGGACAACTTGTCTATCGTTGTTGAATCAACTTCATGAACTTTAATTTCTGAGTTAAAACCAAAACAATTGAATTATTGACTTATATTGGCGTTTTGAGGAAGCAGTTGGACTTTCATTTTCAAGTTAAACCACTTTATGTGAAATACTTTCACAAAGAAAAGAAAAAAAGACATTAAATATAAAGTCTCTCACTCACTTCTCCATATTTATGGAGCTCTGCGGTTGGGACATTTCCCATTTTTGTGTTCAGTGAAAGAACCATAAAAATATCTGATCTCTTGGCATGACCTCCACTGACTCTTTGGACTTCACGAGTTAATGTGTAACAGCTCCAATAAAACGTCAACTAGCTGATTATCGTTACAAATCCTGATCAAATAAAAGCACTCCATGCATAAAAAAGCAATCGTTTTGAATCCAGACGTCATTTTTGGACCGCAAAGGAGTTCCGCTCGGTTTTCCGCTCGGTTTTCTTCTTGCTCCTCCTGCAGACATGAGGATCACAAACCGCATTCCTGCAGTCATGAGGCGCAGCTGATCTGAGTCACAAGCCACAGAGCGAAAGAGAGGAACAAGCCAAACACGTTCAGGCATGAAAAGAGAGAAGAGACGAAGTCTGAACTGGCAGCCAGCTGCTTTCAAGGAACCAGTTTAAAAGGCTCTGCGCTTCTCGGGAAGAATGACGACGCGGAGACTCATCGATCAGAAGATGGACTTTCATCTGAGCCACAGGTGGGAAACATTCAGAAACAGCATCTCTGGAGCCGTAACGCTGCTTTTTCATTCTATTTCTCACTGAAATCAAACTTTTTAATTGAGAAAAAGTTTGAAAAATGTTAGCAGATTCCACTTGTTTAAAGACAAACACCCTAAAAAACGCTTTTCTATTAAAATATGTGACATCTAATCCTTTGACACATATTCAAGCTGAGTTTATACTGAGCAGGAAACGTTTTTGGTGTCATGTTTACAGCAACGCCACACACTAAAAGATGCTGTTTCCAGATAAAGACGTTTTTTACTTGTAATTTGGTCTGTGTGGTAACAAGGCACTCAGCGTGCTGCTTAAGATAAGACAGGCTGCTTATTGCATGCATCCAATCTGCACTTCCCGGCAGTCAGAGCTCTGTCAGCAGGTCTTCATTAACGAGGAAGTGAAAATGAAAGAAGCTGTCGAAGGCAGCGTTGTTTTCACACCTCCCTGCTAAAAATGTGACAGAGCCGCTGATGGGGGGAGAAGGTTGGGTCTGTAAGTGGGATTTTTACTTGACTCTGTTACTGACACAAACACAACTGGAGAAACGGTTTCTAACAAAGAAAAAGGAGGAGAGTTTCTGAAAGCGAAGTCTGAGAATGAGAGCATGAAGTTTCAGTGTCACTTGAGTAAATGTCACATAGGACCCAAAAGCAGAAGTAACCGGGTTTCCTGCTGGCTGTCATGCTTCTTTTAGGTCGACGTGTTTATGAGAGATAAAAGCTGAGGCCGCTTTCAAAGCTTTTCTGGCTAAAAGGTTCTGCTTTTCCAACCATGACATGCTGAGAGTTTTCCTCTTCCCGTATCGACCCAGAAGAGCTCCTGGCACCAGCTGTGAAGCCCGAAGCAGCTTCTTGGAAACCGGTTATAACGTGACACTGGTCCACAGCCAGAAACACTGCCTGGGGTTTTTCAACTGTTTCAGGGTCATTTTGATGAGCCGAGTCCAAAAATCTCATTGGTTTTGCTCAATCGGATCAACTTTCTGAGCTATGGAGCAACATAAGCATCAAAATGCACGACTTGTTCTCACATCTGGATCAGTTTCCTGAGAATCTGGACCAATGAGGGATGAGCAGGAGGAGAGAACTTACACGTACTGACCCTTATCAGTGTTTATTATTCAATTTACAGAAATCCAAGTTTGCAGCATTTAATTAACACACTGTGAGGACTCTGGGTTTTTGGGTTTGGTTTTGATCTTATTTATCGTTGCCCTTCAAGGTCATTTCAGTTTTATTATTTGAGGTTATTTAGTGTGATTAGAATTGCCTTGCTGTTTTCCTTATCTGCAGCCCTTATCTGTTTCTAGTTAGGTTTATTCTTTAGTCTGGTTCTGTTTCTCTTGTATGTCTGAGTCCACATTGAGCTTCTTTAGTGATTATAGTTTATTTTTATTTAATCCTTCTAGCTCCCCCCGTAGTGTTTCTTGATCTTATTTTGTCACTTTATGTTTAGTTACTTTCTTTAGTAATTCTAGTTTATCTCTTCGCTCAGGTCTTCTAGTTTTTCTAGCTCTACGTCCCCCAGTTCTTATTATTGATCGATCGGCCTTCTTTCTGTTTAGGTTTGTTTATGTTTTTCCCTCAGGTCTTTTTGTCTTTTATTTTAACATGCGTCTGTTTTAGACGTATTTTCAGCTCCCTGGTGTTTCCTCTGTTTTTCCCAGTATACCTCCTTAGCTTCCCTGGGCCAATTACTCACCCAGTTATCTCATCTCGTTGGGTCCACTGATCCATTTACTGCCTCCCAGTATTTAAGCCCCTCCGTCCCAGTCACGCCTCGCCGGTCTGTGTTTCCCTCCCCGGATCACCTGTTGTTCCCTCGTGTTTCCAGTTTGTTTTGTTTTTGGATGTTTTGTTGGTTGATTTTTTTCATTAAAACATCCACTTATTTCTACCCACGTCTACTGCCTGCTGCGTTTGGTTTCCACCGCCACACCATGACAAGCACTCTGTTAGAAAACAGAAAAACCGGGTTTGGATGAGAAATATTAATGAACTGATAATGTCACAAAAATGTCATCAATTTAGTCAGAAGATCAGATTTCTCTAAATCAAATTAGTATAAAATCCTGACCAGATTGAGAAAAATGGACGTCATCTTTGGATTCAGCGGTGCAAAAATAATCCTGATTCAGTTGAAAAAATCAGATAACTTCCAAAGAATTGTTTTTTTGGTGTAATTTAATGCTGTTAATTATGCAGAATTAGTCATAACTGCAGTTTTCACCCATTAGTTCACCAATATTCACTTTATGACCTGTGATATTTG